CTGTCTGTCTCTTTCTCTCTCTCTCCCATGTGGTTGTTAGCTGCAGCAAGCTGAGGTCCCGTGGGTAGCAGCAGTATGTTCACTGCTCCCTGAATCCTCCAGGATGATGAAGGAAGGAGCACGGCAGCTTCATCTTTGCAAGCTGCACAGCTCCCTGCTGGGTTCCGTAAGTGAAACCATAGTGACAGCTAAGATGCATTGGATGCCGACTGCATGCTACGCACTGTTCCAAATCCTCTCGAGAATTATTCCACTGACTCTGTGAGGTGGCAGGTGGTATTCATTACTGACTTTTACAAATGAGCACACAGAGACACATGTGTGAAGAAAATGCCCAGAATTGAAGATATGGGAGGCAGTGCCGGGGTTAGGTCAGGGCCAGCTGGCTCCATGGTGCCTTTGCATGCTGGGTGGCCTCCTCACAGTGTGGCCATAGTCAAAATACCTCGACATGATGACTGAATGAAGATGAATTGATGGAGTTAGTTTGTTCCTAGAAAAGGCCTTAATTAAGCCTAGTGGGGGAACTTCTCACTTTAGACATACCTCTTAAACTGCTTTCCTATGGGCTCATCTTGAAAAACCTGCTCAAATTGTTTATGTAGGATCTTAATTTTAAATGTTAAGATCTGCTTTATCCTTGGCTTTCTATAAGCAGGTATATTCATGATATTGGGGGGTCGGGACTAGAAGTGTTTTTCTAGTGCACATTGTCTTTATTGAGAGAATTGACAAAATGTGGTGGACGGGGTAGTCTGTGAACATGGATGTTGATTTGCACCGTTTGGAGGGGGCTGGAAGTCTGAGCTCAGAGCACTAGCATGGTGGCATTCTGGGGTGCCTTCTGCTTCCTGCATCTCATGGCAGACTTTAGAGGGCACCATTTGCTTCCTGCCATCGGCCAGCTTCTGCCTGTAGCCTCCAACAACAGGAAGACCAGAGCACTTTCCGTGTCTCTTCTGTATGAACACTGATCTCACTCATGATGGTTCCATCACCATGACTTAGGTCCTTGCCCAAGGCCCCAGCTCCTAGCACTATGGCAAGGCCACTAGGGTTTCAATACATAGTGCTGGACACACAAACTCCATCTAAAACACAGTCCAAAGGCATGTCCTCCTGTCATGCACTGCCTCAAAATCATCTCCCTGTGATGTACCAGAGCTCATCTGCCATTAACATGTTGTTCAGCCATCCTTCTTATCAACTAATGTAACAACCTGGACTCTTGTTATGCTATAGAACTATAAAATTTCTACTTCACATCAAAATCTGCTTTTTCTTTTTAAAAAGATTGTAAGAAAGACCCAACAATAGAGACAGAGTGACTGAAAAAGATGTCCCATCCACTGATTTGCTTCCCAGACGGTCACAATGGCTGAGGTTAAGCCAGGCTCAAGCCAGGAGCCAGGAGCTCCATGTCTGCTGCACAGCAGGAGCAGCCAACATGTTTGGCTCATCATTTGCCCTTTCAGGTGCATCAGCAGGAAGCTGGATCAGGAGCAGAGCAGCCGAGACTTGAACTGTCACTCTGGTGTGGAGTCCCAGCATTACAAGCAGGGATTTAACATGATGTGCAACAATACCAGTCCCAGAACTATTTTTCAAAAACTCTCTTCCACAGCAAAGGCACTTTTAATCTGGAATAAGTAGGAAATCTAACAAGATTTTTATGATCATGGCATTTACTTGTTTTCATTTTTATGAAGCCGTGACTTTTTTATAAGATTTTTCCCAAAGAGCTGAGCTCCATTTGGACACAGTCCTGGGGCTGAATGTAAACTCTGTGGAATATATACTAGACTATTATTTTTAAGGTATTCTCCAAGTAGGCTGCATCTATTTTTGGAGCCACTCCACAGGAGCCCCATTTTTAAGGCAGATGAATGATTCACTCCAGCCTGGGCTTTGGCAGTAGGTTAGTCTGAATACATAAGCTAAGCACCACGTGAGTGCCGAACATAGCAGTATCCTAGAAATCAAGAGAAGGTGGTAAAGCCTTGAGAGGCATGGGTCAGACAGACTTCAGTGGGAGAAGTCAGATATGAGTGACGCCTGAAATGGATGGGCACGGAGACAGAGAAGGCAGAAGTACAAGTACAGTTAATGTACAAAGGGCGAGAGGAGTTCCCTGACTACTTCTCACCCACACACTTAGCAAATGCTGCTCACAAATGTACTTTGTGTCAGGAACTGCCAGATGCATGGAGGTCCCATTGCTTCCTTGTTGCTGTTCTGACCAACATGTACTACATACTTACAGAGCAGGAGTTATACGCTAAGAAATGTGCATGCAGTATTTCTCATGCAAATTCAGAATATATGATGTGAGGTTGGGTTTTTAATCTCATGTTAAACCAGAGCTGGTATCCAGCAGATGTAGGAAGTGAAGCTGGAAGGTAAACATAGAGTCTACCTCTTCCAGGGCAGCTTCAGTCACTACTTGGTCCTCCTGGGAGACACTCAGTGCCTGCCTGCAAGGAACTCCTAGTTGAGTAGTGCTCACAGTGGTGGTTCCACCTGCTGAGTTCTGAAGAGAAAGAAAATGTGAGAATAACTAGCAGTGCGTGGTAATGAGGCTAAGACCTTGTTTCCAAAATTACTTATTTGGACACAAGTCTAAATCAAAAAGAAGACATGAGTCATCAATGTCTGTTAACTTTGCATTTAGAAGTAATACTTGAGATCATTATCACACTAACCAATATCACGGCAACATTTACTGTTGATTTTAGGACAGGAGATCAGAAGTGAGAGACATGCAAAGAGACATCTCCAGAAGTCCATTGTAGTCTTGCTAGAATATTGGGCCACGTCTTAATCAGCACATTCACATAAGGAAACTAACGAACAGTCAGGAGGAAAAATCTGAAAGGAATTGAAGGACTGCAGTTGGCACATGTAGAGGACTGGGAAGAATGTCTTTTCCCACCAGCCAGACTGGGAAAGCACTGGGGACTCAGGGGAGCGCTCCCTCACTACTTAGAAACAATCTGCTCTTAGGATAGGCACTGCTTTGGTCCTGCCTAATCAGACTCAGAAGCAAGAGCTGAAAGGATCAATCTGTTCTCAGGAGTTTTCACTGTATCCAAGAACAAAACTCAAGACTTTAGGAACCCAGAATTATCCAGAAATATGAAACCAAAGGAACACAGGCCTATCTGGTATCCAAACAAATAAAACCCACAATGTCTGGCATCCAAACAAAAATTACTAGAATGGCCAAGAAATGGGACATAAACTTATGGTGTGAAGAAAACCCAACTGAACTGACCCAAACCTATACAGGTGTTAGAATTGGCAAAACAAAACATAGAAAAAATGAATAGACATGTACCTCACATTAAGAAAAAAAAAACTCAGGAGGGTCATACAAGCTACTTTTTGTGGGTACAAAGAATTTTTAAATCTTTGCATAGATTTTCATGATACACATTTTCCATAAATCTTTTTTATTTTTATTTTATGATACAATTTCATAGGCATACAAGCTATATTTTAACACTCTAAGATGCCAATTGTAGAGCAACATCACAGAAGGAGAAATGTGTATTACCCTGATTGGATGGGCACACAGCATGCACAAGGGTTGAAATGCCACGCAATAGCTCATAAATGTGTATAATTAGTGAATTCAAAGACATGTCAATGGAAACTGTCTTCTCCCAGTCAAGGGGTAGGGGAGGTGCTTTGAGGGAAGCAGAGTCCCCAAGGTCTTGAGATGAAGAAAAGGACTGTCAGGGTCAAAGGGATAAAGACAAAGGGTGAGGATGCTCAGTCTAAGAAGTGAGAGTCGTCTCCAATTCCATTGCTCTACCCACCTCCAGAATAGCCTCCATATCCACCATTCCTGAATGATAGCCTGCCTTCCCTGGCCATGTCTAATATACCATCCACCACCCTCAGCAATGGACCGAATAACCGCAGACACAGACGGACATGAAGGACCTCTCCAGGGAAAGCTCACCATTTTAATAAACATAATTTATCAAGGTATGAAATGTGCATACCCTGGGATCACAAATGTCATTCATGCTAATTCTGCCCTACCAAAAAAAAAAAAAACCCACAAAACCATGCATGAGTGATTGAAGAGAGAAAGTGTTACGTGTCCATTTCAACACTCCTATAACACTCGACTTGGACAGCTTGTGAACATCATCAGTGAAACCAGAAACAGCTTGGGTATGCTTGAAAAACTCCAAGAAAACTGACTAAAAGGAAGGAAGAAGAAAGTACCTTCCACATAGGAAGAGTGGAACTTTAAGCCTGGGCCAGAAGTTGAACTTGATGCTGGGGGCCCTGGGAGCCATGCAGACTGGCAAGCATGGGAGAATGGGATCTGTTGAGGAAAGAATGGGTTGAAGAAGCTCAAAATGTGAGCAGACAGAGAAGGGAGGCAGCTTGTGGTCAGAGTGTATGTGACAGCCTCTTGGCCTGATTTTGGGGTAAAGATGAGTCTCAGAAGATGGATTCAGAATGTACCCGATCCTCTTCAGTGTTTAGAGGAGAACAATCTGTCCTCTGTCATGTCCCTTGAGCCAATAAACTCCCCAATACAATCCACAAGGCAGAAGTACCCTGTGATGGTTGAAATGGCCCACCTCTGTGGGCACTGTGGGGATTCAAATGGAACCATCTCTGCGGATAATGTGCGGATCCTCAGAGTAGAAGGCTACAAAGATGGGAAACGTTGGCCTCCCACACAACCTCCTTGCAGAACTTGGAGAAAAGCATTTTTGTTCAGAACCCGACATGCACTGCTGTGTTTATTACGCTCGGGCGCCCACCCCTGCCCCTCCGACCAGCTGCAATGCTGACTGTGTTAGAGCAGGAGGGAGGGAAGCCTGACGCTCACAGGCTGCTGATTGTTCTGCGCACCCGTGGGCAGAAGAAGTATGGCTGGAATTAGGGGGTAAGGGCGAACGCGAGGCAAAACTATTACTTTGAGAGTCCACATTCAACAGGTTGCATCCGTGAAAACTCTGTTTTGCTCCCAGGACCTAGCTGCCGGGGAGGAAGAAGGAGGAGGCGGAGGACAGGAAATTGGAACTTTGAGCTGCTCTGTCCCTGACGGCCCAGACGAACCAGAAGCTTCAAAGGCCGACTTTCAGTGCACAGACACGACTGAGGATAACAGTCGCATCATGAGTTTCTTTAAAACTCTGGTAAGTAGTTTCCTCTCTTCTCCCGCTCCCACTTTCAATTCCACTGCTCCAGATTGCGTCCATTCTAATAATAAGGAGTATTTCACCCTACTCTACTGAATGGATTATTATTGTATGGACTATCGTTTCCATGCAGCTGGTACTCCTCAGGCCCTCAGGGAGGCAGCCTGTAGTCAGGAGTCCAGGAATACACAGGGGGTGTCCAAAGTAGGCAACAGGAGCTGAATCATAACAGGGTTTTATTGGCAAGGGTTGTTTTATGATCTCTTATAAATATAACTGGAGAACACATCCTGGAATTGCTGAGCTATCAAAACAGCCTTCCTTTTCAATCAAATGGCAAGCAAAATCCTGCAGCAAGACAAGATCTCTGCCTCATCACATCTAAAATCTGCCCCTTCTGTTGTGAGAGAGCAGAGCCCAGGTTTCTGCATTGCTTGCTCATCTCTGACCCTGTTGGCCAGAGGCCCCAGCCTGGAAACAGAGCTGATTGAATGAACGAATAGCTACCCAGCCTCAAAGGTGCAGGAGCTGTTTGCAAACATCAAGACTAGCCTCAGAAGGTAAATAAGAACTAATGGAGGAAACACACACTACATCCAAGAGCTTCATGTATGTAAGGAGCAAAGACAGACATAATGGAAAGTCGGACATGACAAGGTGGAAATGACCTTCAAGAGATTCTTCATGAATGAGGTCAGACTCTTAGGGAATGCATAAGGTCTGATGTGTTTCATTATAAAATGACAGTTTTGGTAACTTCTGTATTGTCCAGAAGTCCTTGGGTTTCTAACAAACTAAATGTTTCTCATTTATCTGTTGATCCATATGGAGAACTCAGCCTATGTCTATAAATTAAAGACCCCCTGGAGAGCTATGGTTCTTACTATTTTGTTTTCTCCAACTTTGAAGGTTTCTCCTAACAAAACTGAAGCAAAAAAAGATCCAGAAGACACGGTAAGTAGTTTTGATATTTGAGTGTGTTTGAATTTGCACATAGAATTGGATTTGGATTTGTATCTGATTATTGTTGCTTGAATTATAGCACTATGGTATACAAATTGTATCTATCTATTTACATATCCATACAGTATGGTTAGAAATTGATGGTATTGTTATGTTTCATTGAAATATTTTGTTCAAATTAATGATATTTTAATAGATTTTTCAAGGGAAGCTTGAATGATGTGCCAGTTGGGTTCGATGTTGTCCCAATAACCAATTTCTTATAGAAAATTAGGTAGAAGACTAATAATTATATCAACATCTCCATCTTTTTATTTATGCTTATAAAAACTTATAGAATATAGTGGTAAAAAATATTCCATTTAAACTAAAATAAAAAACTGTTATTCTTCTCTTTTTTAAAGTAACTTTTGTTTTTTATGTGATTTGCAAAAAAAAAAGTAAGTCCTTGCTGCCAAGGATATTGATGAAACATAACTGTCGTCATGGGATACACACCTCAGCAAGGTGGAGCAGAGAGTCGGGCTTAGGACAGCCTCAGCTTCTCACTCCTGGCTGGAATTGCAGCCAGTTTCTCCTCCAAATAAATTTGCTTTGAAACCATTCTTCCTCAAGACATTTTCCCTACACACTAAACAGAACCAATGACCCTAGTGGAACACGTGGTTTAAAATTCACAGAGCTGTAGGGAAATTTAACTTGGTGATGGAGAACTGTCTTGCATGCTTCTTCTGAAAACTGAAAGTGTTTTCAGAGACACTGGGACAAGCAAATGGCTTATCCAGCCCCGCAGATCTGCTACCCACATTGGAAGGTGTGAAGTTGCGGGCAGTCTAACCTCCACAGAGCTGCATCTGTACCTACTGTGCTATGCCCATTCTACTCTTTAGTAGTAGTGGGTCCTAATCTGTCCAGATGTAAGTCTTCCTGACTGTGGAACTGGATAAAGACCCTGAGTGAGATAGGTGAAATGCCGAGATAACTGAGACATCCACATCCATTTTCCTATGAAAGTATTCATCTGCTACAAGACAGCTAGGGTCAAGCTTGATGAATGATTGGGTCAGTTTTTTTTTTTTCTTCTTCTTCTTCTGGTTCTCTGTCTTGCATTGTTGGAAACCACACAGTCTGCACAAAAGGATACACACGGTGAAATATGTGGGTGTGTAACATGGTTTCCCAAGTGGCCTGATGCATGGCTCCAGCTGCTCATGTACCCAGACATTTCCCAGGCTCAGAAGGAGGCCCCAGCTGAACTCACCTCACTGATAAAATGTCATCTTCCTGCCCAGAAAGCGCAGAGATTGTTACTGGTGAATTTAGGTCTCAAAAGCAGGTGTGGTGAACAAGGGCTTTTCACAACACCCACAAACAAGCCTCTTTCCTACAAGTCTGGTTCCCACACCTTGCTGCTGTGACATCTCTTCTCTTGAAATGCTTTATTTGGGGGTTTTAAAGTCTGTACTGTTCATCCCATTGGCCCCAGACAACTTCTGGCTGCATTCCAGGCACAAAATCTTGCACATTTGTACTGAGTCAACAGTCTTGAGTGATTGTAGCTGGGCTGTTATGGTTCCATCTCCCCCAATGTTGCCCAGTGAACTGCTTAATACCAAAAATTTCATTTGCCTGTGAGAATTGCCCTCCTGGATGTCCATAGAAATTTTTGTGGGTGCTTCCACTAGGTTCCCAATACTGAGTCAAAGGAAATTGGTTTGAGAAGTGAATGCCTTTCAGTGGCAGAATTTGCCTTGACTCCAGCATATAAAAATAAATTGTGTGTCTGGAGGTATTTTCTTTTCTTTCCCCTGTAACAATACCAATTAGGTATTTTAATACTTTCAAGTAGGGATTGTGTTGTCTTTGTTTTTTGCTTTTTTTTTTTAATTTCTCGTTTAAATACTTTAAGTCATGTAGATGGAGCTTAAATTTTTTTTTTATTTATTTAGCAGAGAGATGTTGGGTTTTGTTTTCGTTTTTGTGGGGAGGTTGGTCATTTGGTTTTCTCTTTATTTGAGATGTGTTATTCTGGGCTTTTGAAAAACATGAAAATCAATATGTACCTGAAGTTGACTGTGATTATACTGTTTAACAAATAATCTTTGAGAATTCACAAAAGATAAACATCCACGTGATAGGATGTGAAACAAGAGTGATGAACCAGTGTTCATTATCACTGTTTTCACGCCTTTTAAAATAATGGGGGCGGGGGGAAATGGTTCTGTTTAACCATAAAACTCTAAGCTGTGACTGCTGTTGCCCACAAGGCACCCAAAGCAGAAATTGTGTGTGATGGACACGCCGGTCAGAAGACATCCGAGACTCAGGCCAAAGGCCCCAAGAAAAAGCAGCTGGATAGCCCCAGCCTAGGACTCGCCTTTAGGAAGTTCTTTAGGCATAAGGTCTGTATCTTGTTCACCAGGAAGGTGAAAAGGACCCTGGTCTTCACCGCCAAGGAAGGTATTGCCCTGCCTCTCCACTCCATGACAGGGACTGAGCTGCAAAAGATGATTAAAGGAAAATGAAAGAAGATGTGATGAAGTTCCCCGCACTAGAAACCTCTCAGATTGCTTTCTCAGAGTGTGGACCAGGGTTCTGGGATTGTGGCACTAACCTAGTGTTTCCCAGATGTCGGTCATCGCATACCACTGGCACCATACTATTAGCTGGTACTATTGTTAGTCCTTTTATAGTGAAATTGATGACTATTTAAATATACCTTTAAAAAATGTTTTGTGATATCATGAATGGATAACTAGAATCATTTTTTGTTAGAAGCTGGAAACTATTAATATGGCTTATTTAAAAAAAGGTATTATGTTCCTGCTTCCTTGTTTGTGGCAAGTTCCGATTCAGTTTTCCTTTCTAGCTTTATTAAAAGGCGATTAGCCAATGGTAGGAAAATGTTAAAGAAATACCAGTACCAGACTAAAATTTTCCCCAGAATGTTATTAAAGAGGCTGAGAAGTGGAAAGGAAAAGTATTTTCACTATTTGAGTGTTATTTCATACCATATTTCTGTGCAGTCTAAAATAATTTTTGATCTGCTAGTGGTATGCTTCCTCCACTCGGGGAAATCCTCTTCTAACCTCAAGATAACAATTTTATCACTCTGTGGTCTGTTTCATCCATTACCCCTGTTAACTAAACTTACACTGAAACCGAGTAGAACCCCAGGAGGAGAAAACAATGAATGCAGGCAGCCAAAAGCCACATGCCTAACAAGTTAGAGCAACACCCACTTTCCTTTAGGGAACTCTGTTTTTTGGAAGGCTAAGACTTTAGTGTTCATCTGAAACCACCATTTAAAAGGATCCCTGAGTTGGATCAGTATGCCTAAAAACTTGTGAAAAGCGTGTACCACTCTCCACCAAGCTGAATGATTGTATTTAAGCAAGTTCTTCAATAGTCCCAGGACTGTGTGTAGAAATAGAAGCTCCACAGACCGTTCTCACAGTGGAATCTATATTTACATAGACAAGTGATGTCAATTTCCAAACAGGCTTATTTTGTCCCATAAAGAGAGAAGGTGGCTGCTGATGAGCCCTTCATGGCTCTCATACAAGAGAATCTAGAATCTCCCATAGTTTCTAGATAGAAACCCTTGAACATTTGTGAGACTTTTCCCTTCCATATCTGCATTTCATTATTATATTCATTTCATGCACTACAAAATTTCCTGTCTTGCCACCCAAGTTCATAAGAGGACCACCCAAGTTCAATATTATTCTTCCTAGGACTTCCCAAAATCATGGGCTCCACATATTGCATCTGCAGTTATTTTGAGGAGAAGACAGGATTCTGGGATACTAGCAAGATGTGGAAGAAGCATTCTGTAACAGCGACACAGGGACTGTAGGCCTTGGCCTTGAGCTGTGTGAAAAATGTTTTTATGTACAAAACTTTTTCAGTCCTCTTTTATGCAGAAGTTTGATAGAATTCACTGGTCTTTTCCCCTTCATATAAGATAGTTTATTTCTTTCTAGATTATTCTGTTGTCTACAAAGGTCAGAAAATCAGGTCTATCAACAACCCTTGTCGTCTGATTAGACACAGTGCGAGACAATGTCCCATGAAAGGACACTTAACTGATCCCAGAAGGATCCAAATTTGGGGGCAGATGGTGCCCCTTGTTTAGAATAGGACAGATCATAGCCCTTGGTTTCCACATATATTAAAAAATTAGTATTGTGGCATAACAAGTTAACTCACTGCCTGCAATGCCACGGTCCCATGTGAATGCCAGTATATGTCCTGATCGCTCTGCTTCTGGTCCAGCTCCCTGCTAATATGTCTGGGAAAGCAGTGGAAGATGACCCACATACTTTGGTACATGTACTCACACAGGGGAACCAGATGAAACTCCTGGCTCCTGGCTTTGACCCCCGCTGTTGCAGCCATCTGGGGCCTGAACCTGTGATTTGACCCTCTCTATCTCTATATCTATCTCTATTTCTCTCTCCCCCATCCATCTGTGTAGCTCTACCATCAAATAGGTAAATCTTAAAGCAAAGAAGTCAAGCATCAGATGCTTCCCAGCACCAAAAATAGGAAATTTCCCACACTTATACACACTCCATTTCTCCTGGGAGAATTCCCCTCCTCTTTCAGGCAGACAGTACAGTCAGAGATATGATTTTCTGGGAAATTGAAGGGGTTGAGTCACAAGTCCCTGGAGCCAAAATCATGAAAGGAAGACGAGTAGGCTGGTTAGGTCAGGTCAGAGGGATCTGTGATGTTTAGGACTGATAATCATTCATGTCAACAAAAAGTGTGACTGTAAGTCTCCCAGCTCTTCTTGGATCCTGTGACTCAGGTGGCAGAGTACAGATCAACAGAGCCTGGCAGGCGGAGTCAGATGTCCTAGGAATGGGCTTCAACACAGACGCCCCGCAGCAGGACATGCACTGGGGGAGTGGTGATGGAGAGGGAGTGGGGGAAAACCTGGGCAGAATGAGTCACATTTGAAGACATTTTAGGAGTATGGGGGCTGCCTCCAAAGGACCCTGAGGATCCCCTTCCAATCCATGACCCTTCCACCATGTTCTATTCTAGCCCACGGTCATGACCTCCCACGGGGAACACAGGCGAGAGAAACTTCAGAACTTCTATTGCAATGATACTTACTTTAACCCTTCTTTAATTTCTAATCGCATTGTTATAATCTAATTAGAACAATACGTGTTTATGATATTTGCAAAAATTAATGTGCATATTTTGAAAGTGTATGACCAAAAAATTGGAACCATTGGTCTAAGGAAGAATTTCATATTCTAAAAGGAAAGTACCTCTTATGATCACCTTGGCTCCTAATGAATTAGTTCCTTGAACATAATCAAGAAATACTTCCATTATTTTAAAGTAAAATCCTTTGACTTTTTCTGAGGCTTTCAACACAAATCCACATTGATGATAGAAATTTGAAAAAAAAAAAAATAACGAAGAAAACCGACAGCATGATAACCCCTGCCCATATTTGAAAAAAAAAAAAAAAATCCGGAGATCATTTTGACTCTTCCTTCTGTATTTTAAAATTGTAGGGTGCTGTTCAGTCACCCACCACCTCCCCTGACCTCAAGTCAGACAAAGCAGACGCTGTGCCCTCCGAGACCCCGGGGCCAGCCAAGGGTGCCAAAGGCTGCAACCCTGCAACTCCCTCGCAGCCTGGGACCCCTCCGGGGACCACCAAGGACAGCACCAAGGAGAAACCAGGGCCCATGGCCTTGCCTCTGGGGAAACTCTTTTGGAAAAAGGTGAGTCTGATTTTCAGCCTTTGTTGAGAACTTGGGGCTGAGGTGACCCGAGAAATGATCTCTGTTGGATCAGTGAGCCCAACAATGCATGGAGTCGGGGTGCTTGTTGTTTCTTCTCCAAAATGACTCAGCTGTTCCCCCGAGAGGAATGAAAGTCCTATCGTGTTACCGAATATGCGTCTGTGATGAACAGGAAATGAACAAATAGACCTTTTCGTTCTGTGAGTGACCTCTGGTTCGTGACGGGGCTGTGGGCTTTCGCGGCTTCGTTTTCCTTCTCAGGTGGTTTGTCCCTGTGGCTTCCTCCTGCTGTCCTCCGAGCATGCTCACCCTGACGACATGAACCATGCGTGGTCTCTGCCCCACCCCAGCAGGTGCAATCACTCAGCCTGACCGGCCGTTCACTGCCCTTGGGCGAGCACGGCCGTGTCCTGCCGCCGGAAATCGGCCCCGCACTCTGCTGTTTCCCCCGCACTCTAGAATCAGATCCCCGAGGAGTGCACACAGCCAGGAAGTAGGTGGGTGAGGCTGAGTCATTGTGAGAGTCATTCCTTAGTCATCCTCGCCCGCAGACCGGGCAGCCGCACCTGTGCAGAATCCTGGCCTGTTTCAAATGAAGTTGGGGTGAGGGGGTGGAAATGCACTGAGCTGGAAAAATCCAACGTGGGAACTTCATCAAATCATGCATGCCACTCGGTGTGCCGCGAAGGCAGATAAAATACAGATGTGTGCTCTGTTCCTTCCTGAGTCTCGTTCCTGTTTGTTTTCTGCCACACAGAAGCCTTCCTTCTAGCTTCTTCCCCCAACCTAAGCAGCTTTGATTTTTATAAACTGGATCACGTCAGCTGACATTCTACTCTGCTCCTCTTCCCTCCTCAACTGCCCTGGCTTATTTTTAGAAGTCTTTTACTAGCAATTTTATGTAGAGAACAAGTTCTGCTTGAGCTATCTGCCTGTATTATGTTCAAATTTGGACTTTTTTGGTTAAAGTTATTGACACATAGGGTCTTGCAAAAGACCCTGGCAAGTGCATATTAAATAAAAATTCTGCATGAATTTTAAAATATTTTGCAACAGAATAAACTTATCTATTGAAATTTCCATTTTCTATATCTATTTGAAGTACCATACATATATAGTATGTTCATATATAATATATAATAGATGTATATAATGTATATTCTAAAGGTGTATTACAAAAAATACAGGTTGCACATTAAACTCAAAATTTACCATGAGTTTGCTCAAGGAAGACTAAATGACTAAATGTATTTAGTTTTTTTTTTTTTTAAGATTTTATTTTTATTATTTTGTTATTGGAAAGGCAGATGTACAGAGAGGAGAGACAGAGAGGAAGATCTTCCATCCGATGATTCACTCCCCAAGTGAGCGCAACGGGCCGATACTATGCCGATCCGGAGCCAGGAGCCTCTTCCGGGTTGCCCATGCGGGTGCAGGTTCCCAAAGCTTTGGGCCGTCCTCGACTGCTTTCCCAGGCCACAGGCAGGGAGCTGGAAGGGAAGCGGGGCTGCCGGGATTAGAACCGGCGCCCATATGGGATCCCAGGCGTGCAAGGCGAGGACCTTTAACCACTTGCGCCACCGCGCCGGGCCCCAATGTATTTAGTTTTAAAAGAAATCCAATTAAAAGGAAAATGTCACACAAGTAATGATAAATTTGGGTCCTCCAAGAAGCAGATACCAAGACGAAATTGACAAGGAAAGGTTATAGGACAAGAAGAAATGATAAATGTTTAAGGGGAAGGAAATACTAGCTACCTGGATTTGATCATTAATTGTTGTGTAACTGTATCAGGGTATCATGGTGAAACTGAATAAGAGATACATTGATAGGAAGTGTCTTTGAAGCATCCAGGGTCAGAGGGACTGACATCTTGGAAGGAAGGAGGGAGGAAGGAGAGGAAGATGTGATGAGTCTGGTGCTCAGAAAGTCTTGGTCCAACAAATGGGAAAGCTTGGAGTACAGGAGGCTGGCGCTGGGAGTCCCACACTGGACAGGAGTGGGAGCTGTGCTTCCTCCCACAGCATGCTCAGTCATGGTGGGAAACGCTGGAGAAAGGAGGCTACCAACAGCAACCCTGCCGTGGATGCCGAAGGCAGGAGTCTGGGCAGCTATAGGTGACAGGTGGCACTGGCACAAACCACCCAGGCAGAAGCAGAGGGCTGTGATGTAACATTCACATTGCACTCAGTTTGGAGTCAGGGTGCTCTGTTGTTGAGTCCCAATCCACCTCCCTGAACCTGAGTTTCCTTGTTATATAGTGCAGATAATAACAGCGCCAAGGGTAAGAAACAAAGTGAGCAGTAAGTGCGTTATTGATGGTAAAGCTGCTAACCCCACACCTGCTCCAAAAGTCGCGGGTGCATGATCATTGCCGTCATTCATTCCTCTGGGCTTGGGAGTTGAGGGAGAAACCACAGCTACTGTATCTTTCTCCACCATTCAGTTTGAGAAAGGCATTAAAGCGCTGTCTTCAGAGCTTCTTTTATACTTGGAATCTCTGGGGAACATGCTCTTTCCTGTTTGGAGTTCGGACTATCTCCTACATACTCAAATGAAAAGACAACTTGGCCTTCATTTCCACAATTGCAAAATCACTTTTATTTCCAATTAATTTGCACTGTGATGCAGCTTTATGTCTCTTGTAGATTATCAAAAAATCATCAGGCTCAGATGCCTTACAAGCAAATCACTTGTCCGCAGTCGGAAGGAAATGTTCCCTGTGGAAGTACAATTTGAAAGTTTTCCATGTGCAATGATATCACTTTCTTTTTTAAATTATTAGTTAATTTTATTTTTTAATAATGATTACATGGTTGGTCAGGGTGGGAAGGATCAAGGTTTAGGGAAAATTGGGTGAACTCATTGCTTCCAAATTTGCTATTTATTCTTGTTGTTTCTGGGGGAAAGGGAGAGACAAAGGGGGAACCACTGATGACTTTCCACATGTCCCAGTACCCAGGGATAAGGAACTGCCACCTCATATCAACCCAGAGTCTCAGTATATACCTATTCCGAGGGTTCTGTCCAAGTGGCTTGGATAGTTCTAAAATACTGCCAATTGTGCCAATTATTAATTATTTTTATTTTTGATCAATAATATCACTTTCATTGTGCTTAAGTCTGTGGGTGAAAGAGTTTGTGTGAAATGTCAGGTGTTGGGAGGGTAGTATGACTACCCTTGCTATTGTCAAGCATACAGTCTTGCAAAGGGCTTGTATTCCAATGAGAAGCAAATGGACTCTTCTGTTTTCATTAGAATGCCTGTGTTTATAAAAGCACCTTTGTAAAGACTGTGAAAAATACTGGACAATGTTACTCATTTCACTAAGTAACCCCAATCTCTCTTTATTCCCTCTCTTTTAATTGCAAAATTTAAAAAAAAAATTAAGTTCATGAGTCTGTCTGGACATCAGGAATGGATGTTTCCTGGAACAAGCTGTCTGTATAAAAGTACATGTTATTTTGATTTATAGTCTTGAATGTTGAAGTATTTTTCTTTAGTTAAAAGTAACCTTTGAGGAAATTAATTTCAAATTGTTTTGTGCTTTCGTCAAATTCTTAAAATCCAACTACCTTGGATAAACATGCCGTTATTTTTCTGGGTTAATTAGGTTGCTACTTGCTGTGGGATATTACGAAAGTGATGTATTCTGCTTGGCTTCTTGTCCTGATCTGTAAGAGTGAGAGGGTTGAGACAGATCGTCTTGTTGATGACAAATCTTGCATAACAGAGTCAGAAAGATTGGGCTGAATAGGCATGAGTCACCTTTCTTGACCACTCTGGGTCCCTGTTTTCTTGTCTACAAAATAAAAGCTGTTGACCTCACAGCGTTATGAAAAACCAATAACTCTGTGCAGACAGAGCCCCTGGGACCTTGCAAGTGCTTGCTGAATGATGGCATCATGGTCTGTTTATGTATGAACCATCTGTGTCCGTGAGGAAATAGCCACGAGCAGCTTCTGATGCCAGTGACACCTTGTGTACCAAAGCAGAAGAAGACATTTGCTGTCATGGAAAAAGCCTAAGTCTGTTTGCTGGAACAGGCCTGAGTATTTGTGATTAATAAATTACATATTTGGAATTTCTTCCAACAGTTCCCATGCTGTTTTCCCGTGAGGTAGACAGATCACTGTGGTGGAAAAGTGACGTGTGCTCTGAAGCCACAAAGGCACTTCACCACGTCTCAGTCTGGTCACTGGCTCTTAAATGTTAGCAGACCACTCAAACTCTGGAGGCTTAGCTTCCTCAGCTCTGAAACTGATCAATGATATTCACTTCTCATAATTATTGGGAGAAATGAGTTTTGTTTAAATGAGACTGTGAAATGAGTGGTATTCAGAGATGACACTCCTATTCCAAAAACCTGGAGTTTGCAATCCAGTGTTCCTGTTTACAGTCCAGGTGGCAAATGCTTTCGTGCTCATGATCCATGTAGGTCAAAACAGACTTGGAGAACTTAAAACTCCCTCTGAATCATCTGGGCTGTTTGCTTCAGATGTGGACTTTTACAGTTTCCCTCTGGGAATTCTGGTTAAGAAAAATCTTGGCACATAGTTGAACAATTTCAGAATGTCTTGAAAGAGTGGACTGAAAAAAATCTGGATTTGACCGAAAAGGTCTTAAGGCTACTGTGAAATCAGTGAACTCAGAAAAGCTGTCATATGATCAAAATGATACTCCCATAAGACACGCCAACAACTGGACATCTGCAGTCTTAAGTGCTACCAGGTGCAAGTATCTTGAAAATGTTTTCTTTTAAGAAGCTGATGTGCTCTTCAAAGGAGAAGATTCTTGTTCAAACACAGGCGCTGTGTGGCTTGTTATGCTTAGACGCATAATGGCCACATAACTTTTTGTGGATTTCGGATGTTGGTTGCGAATTGAAGGAGCATCTCTCACATCCTGACTGCATGGGAAGCACAAGGACTAAGAAATCAGTCTCTGCGTGGAGACCAAGCCACACTCCAGGACCTTTCTGTTCTTGCCATGTTTGTGCTGAAGGGCATCACTTTGACAGCTGTGCCATCTTGCTCCTTGAGTTTGCATTCCCCTGCCCTTGTGTGGAAAGATCAAATCACCTTTCCTCCTCTCAGACATTGTCCACCACAGTGGCCTCATTGACAGTGGGCTGGAGTCTGGTACTCCTGTACTGCTGGCTTCTCTGCTCACAGGTGTCTGCTACCCGGAGCAAAGGGAGAGGAATTTGCCTGCATATGTCATTGTGCTCAGAGGATGGGAACCATGCTGGCTACAAATACGGATCAAACATGAGGTCCAGGGTTGCCGCTAAGATCTGCCTTCCCGGGATGCCATCAGTCAGCTTCCCAGGAGGCAGATCATGACTCACACCTCAAAGAGAAGGATGACTTTAGAAGAGAAGCAAAGGTTTGCTAAAGGTTAGGCAGAAGTTTAGAGGTGAAGGGAGCCCTGCTTCCGTTTTGAGTACTGACTTAACACATTCACATTAAGCTCCTAACCCACTGCTTAACATGCAGCATGACGATATGGGTTACTACTGCTATTATTATGATTATTATCTTTTTTTGGTTTTACTATTGCTTCTGCTCTTTACTGTGGCTTCTGATACATGCTGATCACATGGAAGGATGCAAACCAAGAGAGAATATTTACTAAGGAACTAAGCACATGGCACGAAGCTCTGGTTAGAAAGGTTCCTGGAATCTGATCTTAGCCCAATCTATTCGAACTTTATGTCAGTAACTTGGCAAATAACGTCAAAAGTCCACTTACCAAGACTGCAAACTGGGCAGATGCATTAATGCTGCCCAAAATATAAATGACAAAAATCTCAAAACATAAACACAATGGGCTGTGATTAGTGAGGTTTGTTACAAAGGTCAGTGTTTGTCACTGTAAGGAATCAAGAAGATTTTAACTGAAATGCACGTTATCCACTAACCAGTTCCAACCTGAGGATGGCGTGTAACCTGTCAGCAGTGTTTACAGTGTTTGTTTACAAGGTGCTCAGGAGCAAATATACATCTCTTAGTGGAATTAAGGACATTTCAAAACCAGCATAGATTGAGTAAAATTTTTGAAGTAGGTCAAAAGGCATAGACCATGTTTTAGCATTCCTAAAGCTTATCACCCTAGAGGTGGGCCTTTAGCCTCGGAATTAAAACACCTGCATGCCAGGTTGGCATACTTGGGTTCCATACCCAGCTTTGGTTGCACTCTACATTCCTCTAGTGCGTAGCCAGAGTGGTAGCAGTGATCGCTTAGGTAACTCCCGGGTTTCATGCCTAGCTGCCAGCTTTGGCCCCAATGGGGAACTGCTGTGAGCATTCAGGGAGTAAACCAGCAGGTTCTCTCTCTGCTTGCTTTCTCTCTTCTTCTTGTTCTTTTTGCTTCTCAAGTGAATAACAAAACTTAAATTTCTGCCATTAATTAAATACACAGTATGTGCAGGCACTACATACACAAAATAAATATCAACAATTTTCATAGACTAAGTCATAAACTAATCTATGGCCCCACTTTTTTTTTTTATTGTTGTTAACATTGTATTATGTGATACAGTTTTATAGGCACTGGGGATTCCCCCACCCCTCCTATACCCCTCCCCCCATGGTGGATTCCTCCACCTTGATGCATAACCACAGTTCAAGTTCAGTTGAGATTCGTTCCTTGCAAACACATATCTAGCATAAAGTCCAGCGTCTTATTGTCCAGATAAGTTCAGTGGCCTCTTGGGGAGACCTTCTCTAGTCTGAAGATAGGGCTAACAGAGTAAAGATCCGGTCAGTTAAAAGTATGGCCCCACTTTTAAGGTTTCCTTTAAAAAAATATTTAAACTTTCCTTTAAAGCATCGTTCATGAAAAAATAGCTAAAGAAAAATATCAAATAGATACAGGTAATAAATGGATGAATCAAGGGTGGGAAAATGTGTGGAAGGTGTATTGATGCAGTGGCTCAAGGCACCACTTGGTGGGCCAGCATTCCACACTGAGTACTTTGGATTGAGTCCTGGGTCTGTTTCCAATCCAGCTAGCTACTGATGTGCCTGAGTGGCAGTAAATGATGGTTTCAGTGCTTGGACCCCTGCCATCCATGTGCAAAACCCAAATGGAGTTCCTGGTCCCTGGCTTTGTCCTGTCCCAGACCCAGGTGTCCTACTCTCATTCTGTCTCTCTGTTCTCTCCCTCCCTCCCGTCTCCTCCCTCTCCATCTTAGCCTCCCTTCCTTCTCTCCCCTTTCCTTTCCCCTCTCCCTATCATTCTCTCTCTTTCTGCCTTAAAAAATTTTTTTAATGTAAAATAAAAACATGGTATGAAAGTTAGTGAAATTTGAAAGATATTCAGTTGAACTGATTTCTAACATAAGAAATGCTTTCCCGAATAGTATGACTTAAAAAAAAAAAATCGCAGCTCCTTCTGGAAAAGGAAACATTTATAACGTCAGTTTTCCGAAGATCTGGAAGTCCGAAACACAATGAAGATCAAGAAGGCATCGATGTGCAAGAGTAGGTCCTCTTCTCACTGCCATCGCCTACACGGTTCCCAGCCTCCTCTGGAACACAGTGACCCAGTGGCCAAGAACTCTGCAGACAAATGAAACACACACACACACACACTACAATCAACTGGCAGAAGAGAGTTTGAAGATGTAAATGTGCTTTATTCTTAAATAAATACTGTCAGATGTAGTACGGATTAGCTTGTGAAACTTGAGTGGACCAGACTGGATGGGGTCTGCCTTTTAAAATAGGATTCGATTCTTTTCCTATTCAAACTATTATATAACATTTGACCGTTCCCAGAGAAAAACAGCCTAATTCCAGGATGGCAGCACTACTTGCAAATTCCTTCTGAATGTGCTGTTTTCCTGACAGAAGCTTCCAGAAATGCTCCAGTCCTTTCTGGGGTTGTACCAAGGGAAACCTGAGCTTGGGAAGGTGAACAGAAACAAATGGTCCAAGTTTCAAATCTTGTCTGGAGAAAGAGCCAACAAAGGAATTGACGTGGCTACCTGCAAAGGCACTTCAGTCCTTAAGGTCATCAGGAAGAAGCCTTAGAACTTTTTCCACCACTTCCTCCCTGTTGCTCCCAACAGATGCCTTCATCTTGTCATCCCTCTAGTTCATGTGGTAAATCAGGACCACAAAACTTACCATTTGGGGATACTTTAAGCTGGGTCTTTCATGCAATGTGCCTCGTTCAAAAACAAAAACAAACACTTGTAAATATCATGTCTCTTCTTCTCCTGCTAGCTGACTTGAAGGGCAAAAAAGCAGAGCTAGACAACAAAATGGAGAAAGGGAAGAGTTTTGAAACCTGGAATCCCAGAGAAGGGGAACAGAAAGTCTATAAACACCCTGAAACTATTTACAGAGTATTTTATGTCCATTTCCCTGAGGTCAAGTGCATGAGTCTCAGAGTGATCTGTAACGGCTGTCACCAGCTCCCCTTCAGCGTCTAACAACCAGTGAAGGAAAGGTGACCTCCAGTGTCAGAGCTTGGCTGAGCACTGTCCGAGGCTTTGGCTTTTGCTAGAACCTGGATACCTGCTCTCTTACTTGGGGCAGACTCTACGTGTCAGAATTCTTCAGGAATTAAAGCCATATTGGAACATGGCCATCTGCTCTCTGCCCCTTGATAGAAATTTCTTTGTGAAACTGAACGGTGACCATGACCAGGCTTGGGGCAAGTGTTAGACTGAGCTGTGGTCAAGATAAAACTGAGGACCCCTTTACATCACAGTGCCTGCTTGCTCTTTAAGGATGGTGGAAGGAATTTCTCTGGACTTTTACCAGAATTTTCCTGAGCATAACATTTGTTTTTACCCAGCAGTGACTGTGTGCTGAGTGATTGATCTTTCACTGTCTCATCAACTAGTAGAAAATGCAAAGGTCACTGCCAAGGCTTTGCGGGCTGTGTTCCTTTCAAGTGCTCCCTTTGTATCCTGGCTGTGTCTGCATGTTTGTTTTCTTTTTGTTGCATTTTGAATAATGTAATATACTTACATTCTCTGGTGATACTAGCTATATTTGTGTGAGCTTCTTCCTCCAAGTTCTTTTGGAACAGTGTCTAACTAAGAAATTCTGTGACCAAAAATTGTACCACCAGGCTGTTAGCCCAGTTGGCCCTTTGCTGTGATGTGCTGCTGTGGATAACACCTTGACTCTCAACTTTTGTTTTTATCTTCCTTTAGTCAATAAAAGAGGATTCAGTCCCCACAGTCTCCCCAGGTGCAGAGGAGAAAGTAAGTGATGTGTCACATGCCAGAATCATTCCATTCCCATCCTCAGTGTGTGGGGCCACTGGGCATCTCCAGCTCCTTGCATGCTCCAAGTGATGAATCTGGCGTAGACTCTTTCACTCTTTGCCAAGACCAGGGACCAGTGGGGGAACCTTTGGATGAACTCATGGAACTCTCATATAGAATCAATATGAAATGAATGCAAAACTAGAGTACAGAGTTTCATAATTTGCTACCACTGAAGGACTGAAAGAGTCTACTCAGTTCAAGCAGTTTCGCTTCCAAGAGGGGTGCTATGCCTTCTGTTCTACTCCACGCCGGTTGCTGGCTCACTTTTATTTCCATGGCAACCCAATTTCTTACTAACTTTGGCCAGGACCCAGGCCACAGAGTTTCATCAAGCATGAGAACATCTTGCAGCCATCAATGTTGAGACTGTCGGTCTTGGGCCAAGGGCCGACTCTGTGGGTCTACACCTGATAGATGGCATATCACCTGTCTGGCTTTTCAACTTTGGGATGGATGATCAGACCATGTCTGAAGGGATGAAGCAATATAGAAATTCTGGCTTTCCATGATATAAAATTTGAGGCAAAAAGTGAAACATGTGACTGAAATGCACATTGTCTATGCTAAATGGATATCTTCATGCATTGACTATCATATCCCATTATGAAATCAAACAAGGCAATTTAATTCTAAAAATATGTCACAGATCTGATTTTAATTATTTTCCATTATACCCAAGATTAAAATGTGCAAATATAGCCATACAAAGTAGGGAAGGACATATTCCAAAGCCCTGGCCTGGAATGAAATCAGACAACTCTCCAAGTAAAAATTGAATTCTTATGTTGGTATATGCTAATCCAGTCCTAACTTAGCCCAAAGTTCTTTGGCTTTCCGCACTAGATGTTACTGGGTTTTTCTTGGCTACCGAGAGCCAGTTTCTTGGCCTGACTTCAAAGGTAATGGCACTCCCTAACTTCTCCCCCGACTCCCTGGTTTCTTTGTTTGTTTGTTTGTTTTTAAATCTACTGAAATAGTTATGCCTTGGAATAGGGGCCTCTGGTCCTAAAGTAATGAATTGACAGTTCTGAACATTTGGAGAGTCCAGGAAGGCAACTAGGAATATTCAAATAAGATTGATTTTAAAAGTTTGGTTTATTGCACCAATAATGTTTCCTCAGGTCCTTCTGAACTAAACAGAATTCACTGTTTTGAGGAGCTCTTTGCCCGGGAACAGCAGTCAAGCCCTGTTCTGTTCCAGGAGGGATTTCCCAGTCTTCCCACCTGTCTCCTTTCTCAGTTGTGGGCAGGGTTTGTAACTTCTGTTCCTGAAGAGTCTGACCATGACTAGTCTCAATTAGCAAGCCCATTCTCTGCACCAATAATTAGTCTAGGGGTGAGGATATGACTTAGTTCGAGCCAGTGAAATCTGTGGACACTAAGACAGGGCATTGAAATACAAAAATTATCTTGTATCAAATCTTTTGTTTTGAACTTCCTCTTCTAAGAACATTGAGAGTGTGGTGCCTGGATCTTGAGCTGCTAGTTTGTGGCCATGAGGTAATGAATAAAAGGATAAAAATACAGCACATCAAGATGGCAGAACTACAGGACAGAAAAGAGATGAAAGTTCCTAGAGACGTTATGGAGTCATTGAACCAATCCCAGAACTTCTGCCTTAGAACTTCTTGTTCCGTGTTCTTATTGGTCAGAGCAAGGCATGTTAGGGATTCAGTTTCTGGGAGAAACGACATCATCAGTGAGATGGGTATTAACTGTACTCAGTTTGACTGAGTTATTCAATTGTTTAGACTCCTCATCCTTAAAATGAGAATGATGTCATCTTTCCTGACTTGTCTGTATAACTGTTGCCTGGAGTTGTATTTTTTTTTTAATAATAGCATTCATAACGCCAGACATAGTAAGAGGTGGTTGTTAGTATAAGCATCTCAAAATAATGGACATGTACATGGTAAGTGATTTCATATAGGGAGGAAATAGCTCTAATAATAACAAAAATAACGACTGATAGCACTAATTGAGTACTGACAATGTGTCGAGCACTGGTCTCAGAACTTTGCGTGCATTTCCCCCTGTTTAATCTTCAGAACAGCTTTCTGATATGTATCGTATCCCCGTGGAAAGCAAAGTACAGGGACCCCGTATTGGAGCATTCTCAGCCATAGTTGTAAGCTGTGACCCTAGGGAGGGGCTCCCAAACTGTGCCTGCTGCCTCAGACGGCTTCACAGACAGGCCTGTTCCAAGGGCTTTCACGGCTGATGGCTGCTTTTCAGAAACATCATGGCATGCAGTCAGGCCTAGATCTGGCCACCTACTTCCATGTGTGATCACCATGCCCAGTCTCTAACATGGCTCTAATATCGGGCTTGCTTCCTGATCAAAATTCTGCATCCCAGTCACAAAAACTTTCTCACGAGCATGTTTTGTTTGACCAATGCAGTGTTTGCATTTTTAACGTCTTCTGACTGGACGACATGACTTCAGCCCTTCCCACCTCTGGGCACTTGTGAGTTTGTAACTCCCCAGTTTAGCTCTGTGTGGATGAAGAAGGAACACCAGAAATCATGCCAGTGTGTTAAGGAATGTCTGATGGGATGGACTGCTGTGACTTAGCTGCCACATTTCTGTGGTATTCTGCATCCTGATTTTTCCCTGCCTCTGCTGACAGTGTGGAGAATAAGTGTTCTTATTTTGGAAAAATTGAATCATTTGCAAGCCAGCAGAATATTTTGTATGATGGAAAGCAAATGGTTTCCCCTTGGGGTACTTGTCTTCTTGGAAGAATGGAAGGATTATTGGTGCTGTCAGTGAGGAAGGAGCTCCTGCCTATGCCTTTTTCCACTTCCATGTCAGCTAGGTAACAATGGCTCAGAAACTGGCTATTTCAAAGCACATTAGACAGTATGAGCTTTGCTTCTTTAAGATGTGCCTGTGTGGAACCGGCCTGTGCTATCAAACCCACGGTGGCTGTATGGCTCGGGGAGGGCAGCCAGGAGCTCTCTTTATGAAACATATTTGGGAGAACGTTCTTCTCTTCACTCTCTCGTTACCTGGTAAAATAATCCAGGTGGCAGTGTGTGATGCACCAGTAGAGGTTCCAAAGTCGGAGGAAGTAGAGCCAGCCTTGCAAACCGTGGAGCTCAATGAAGAAGAGGTTCCGCCAGAAGACATAGAAGTTAAGAGAGAAGAAAGGAAGCCACCACGAACCTCGTTCATGGCGTTTCTCAGACAAATGGTAAGCCACATGTGTTCAGTGCGGGGAACCTGCAGTGCCTGACCCAGCTCTAAGAATACTGGCCCTGCGCCCCAGCTGGTAGGAAATGAAATTGTAGGTGGTTCCCACGGACCACGAATGTGGTGTGCAGTCTGCGCTGAGAAAGTCCCCTTTTGTCTTTTGATTTCAGTCATAGATAAAAACCGTTAATTTCTAATATTCATTAACCACTACTGACTCTTGTTAACAAGAAAGAATGGGCTTTGATTCCCAAACTTTAGCAGACAGCGGCATTTACCTAAAAGGTGTTACTTTGCTTTCTTTTCATTGCATTTTTTTGTAAAATAATGTGAAATTTTCTTTGGAAACAAATTTATTTACATAGAGAACAGAAGGCATTTTGAGGAATTAAGAATGAAATATATATCAATATATGGTTATGTAGTGATGGAATGAAAAATCTGATGGTAACATAGGAGTGACACTGATTTGGACAAAATTGATGGCAGAACTATCAATTAAGGAAAAAGCAAATAATGTTCCTCAATGAATAAGTATTTATAACTCAGCCGGTGAATATTAGCTCTTGTAGAATGGAAAGAACGTGAACAGACATCTTCTGGTGCCTATGAAACTGTGGACATTAAATATTTAGACAGGCAGAAACTTGAGTCATGTAATGGAACAAAACCAAATCAGCTGGGGGAGGAAACACAAAAAGCCGTGTCAAAGGTCATCAGTTTAATTCTCTTTTAATGAAAAACAAGGATCTCATTGTAGTGTGCTTGGGTTTTGGGGAGTCTTGAGAAATGAAGCCTTTGAGAAAGTACCGCTCTAATTTCACAGGCTCTACCCTGTTAAGGAATTCTTTCTGGTACATAAAACAAAATGAAACAGAACAAAGCCCAGCTAAAGCTCTTGCCAGTGGGAGTTGGAGCATATTACAAATAATTCTGATAGAGCTGCTAACAGGAATCGTTTTATTTTCCTACTAGGCAGTCATGGGGTAATACTGGACAGCCTCTACTGAATGGCTCAGACCCCAACCATGCTGCTGGCTAGTTTACACCGTGATTTGGGGCTGAAAGAGGAATTACGATTTGAGACTTTTAAAAAAAAAAAAGTTTAATTTTTAAAAGTTCTCTTTCTCTTTTTTTCAGGGAGGGGGTTTTATTTGAAAGTCTGAGTAACAGAAGGAAGAGGTTAAAGGAAAAAAAAATGGAGGAGAAAGAGATTTGAAAAAAAATGCACATCTATCCATTGGTTCACTTCCCAACCGCCTGCAGCAGAAATATCTTTTGTCTACTGGTTCAACCCTCAGTGGTTGGAGCTGATCTGAAGCCAGGAGCCAAAGCTTCTTTGTCTCACACATGGTCCAAAACTTTGGGCCATCCTCTAGTGCTTTCCCAGGCCACAAGCAGGAAGCTGGAAGGGAAGTGGAGCATCTGGGATATGAATTGGTGCCTGTATGGGATGCCGGCACTGGTAGGGTGAGGACATTAGCCACTAGGCTATCACATAGGGCCCGGGACAATTGTTTTTTCCCTTCCCCGGCATTGTTAAACCTTGGTTTAGAAGTCTCAAACTTTGAGTTAGGCCATGTGGAGTAGGTTAGCCTGCCACTAAGGATAGCGGCATTCCACACTGGAGTGTCGGGCATCAACAACTTGGATATTTGAAATGCTGGTATATTTTGATGAAGAGCATGGGTACAGAGCTATATTTCTATAGTCAAAAGCCAGGTAAGCAGATGAAACCATAGGGTAGTAAGATAGAAATATGCAGATACAGATGTGTAATTCTTCAATATTAATAGCACCTTACACTTGAAAAGGGCTTACTTCTCCTAAACTATTTGTACATTATTTCATTTAATTCCCTTCCTGACTCATTCTTGGAACCATTAATTTTGTTGGAAAATCTCTGCTGGATTAGCCTCCTCGACCTGGGGGAAGACTACGAATTTTTATAGTCAGGACAAAATGAAAGGCCCAGTTGAGGAGACAGCCAAGAAATGAGGACTTTCTGTGGATTATGTTCAGTTGAGTAAATTTAGTAAGCCTGCTGAAATGTATTGCCTGGAGGAAAGAGAGTGGTTTGTGATGGCAACTATGAAAGTGAAAAAACAGAAATATTCTAGTGAAAGGCCTTGATCTCACATTCTTCAAGTATTCGTTTTAACTTTAAAGAATCATGTCTGTCTGAAAAGCATTTAGGTAAGCGCAGCCCGTGACTTGGATTCTGACCTGTGCATGCCCTGAAGGTCAAGGGGCTTGGTAGGCGTCTGCCCTTGGAAATGGGTGGCCTCAGGAACAGGAAGTGCTACCACATACTGTCTGTGTTCTCCTGGCGGGCCAGGCATGGCCCCAAGCACGTTGTGTGCGTTGCTGGTTTGACTGACAGAGAAACCTATAAAACAAATGCCCCTGTTCCTGCCCCTTGGAAGCTCAGGACCAGGGCCTTGAGACCCTGGAGCATGCACATTGGCCCACAGACAGAGCCAGAATCCCACTGCTGAGTTTTTTGCTGTTGTTGATTCTAAAGCTTGATGTTTATTGCTGCTTCTCGTGCTTCCAACAGCTGTTTTTTTTTTGTTTTTTTTTTTTTTTTTTGAGATTACATGGTGGTAGAACAGACATAAGCTCCATTTTGTGAGTTTCCTCTACTTTCTGCAGAAGTATCCTGTTTATGGATGGGACCATCCATCCCGTTTATCTAAAATCACAGCAAGGCAAATGCAGGAAAGTCAATACCTGTTTCACAGGGACTTGGACTTTCTGGGTATATTTTTTACAAAAATGAAATTCACTTGGTGGGGCAATTTTGTTTGAACAGTTGAATTCCATTTCAAGTGGACAGGTTGCTAAAACATAAACCTTGGGCTTAGAAGCTTGGTTGATCCTGGAAATTTCCAGGGGCTTCTGGACCTTAGATTTGCTGTAAAGCAGCTAATCTAGTAAATAATGTTGCTGATATAGTCATACTATATTCAACTTCTCTCCCCAATCTTTTTCTACATCTCAGCTTTAGTTGAATTAGATTGCCATCAGAGTGCACTTATATTCCTTTCAAAGACATGTGAACTGACCACCACACATGCCCCTTAAAATTTTGAATATCCAAGTAATAGATATTAGAGATACTTCAAACAGTCCCCAGAGTAAGCATGCATGACAAAAAGTGACCTCATTAATATGCAAAGCTTGGGTGCCACAACTAGACTCCACCTCCCAACCACAGGCTGACAGCCCAGGAGACTTCACCTTGGGAACTCATGAATAAAAGTCAACTCAAGGAAGAAAGTTGCTCGGTATCACACTGGAAAAATCCCTGAAACTACTTCATAGTCGTCAAACTGCTCTTCAAAATATTGAGTTGTCTCTGAAGGAATTTTAGCCTTTTTGTAAGTTGACTATTTTTGACAGCTGGGAACAATAAGACTCTGTGGTTATGGTTGTTTGAATTACAAAAGCCCAACATGGATTATCCTGATTTGTCTCTGAAAGATGGCTCTGCAAAGTCAAACAAAAGCAGGACAGATCAGAAAAAAAAAAAAAAATGAATGGGAGAAAGGAAGGGGTGAGGGAGGTGAGAAGGAAACAAGAAAAAAAGAAAGAAGGAAGGTTGGAAGGAGGGAGGAAGGAGGAAGAGAGGGGAAGGGATTCATATTAATCATTACTGTTATGTATTATGGGAGCAGCCTCAGATGGACTTAATTATGTCCTTAGTCTAAATCCAGCATGCAGTCACTTCTGCACACATACAGCTCTCAAAATGAACAGAGAAAACATGTCGTTGAAAATTTGAGGTCACTTCTTCGTAGCAATCTCCCTGACAACCTGAAGTGTGTTTTCATGTCAGCAGAGATCCACTGCCGCCAACACAGCCTTCCTTTTCATTTAACCCGAATTCTCCTCCAAGGCTACCAAAGAGAGGGAGAAGAAGGCAAAATGAAACTTTAAATCAGGAGATTACCTAATGGATATCAAACCACAAGCACCAAAGGAAAGCTAAAAATCCCTCTATCTTAGGGAGCAAAAGGCATAACTTTATTTTCTAGAAGATAGTGGAGGACAGCATGCTGCCAAATGTCCATTCAGTCTTTGCTTACTATTACTGTTGTTGTTGTTATAATTATTTGCTACTTGCACTTCCCCAAGGCTATCACCTGTGAAATGGAAGCTGTGCTCTTAAGGACACTTGGGAATGTGTTTGAATAGGAAGGGTCTTGGGGCACATCCTGGATTCTGAAGTCTCAGTGATATCCCGAAACGACTAAAGCTTTTGATCTGATGGGACATCCGACAGAGCTGCTGGTAGGGAGGGAAGCAGTAACCAAGAGAGTCAGTTCCTTCCTCCAGCAGTGAGGAACCTGTTTTCTGCCAAGCGCAATTTTGGTATTTATTACAGCACGTGGGGCCAGACAAAATTACCAAGTTAAACATTAGCATAGATTTGTTGAACTTTGAATCCCACATGCAGTTGCCTTGGCAGGGCCAGAGCTGATGATTTCATGGGCCTTACACAATCTGCAGGCCAGATATTCCCCACCCCTGGTTCACTCCTCAAATGACTGCAATGGCCAAAATTCAACCAGGCAAGTTCACAAACAGGAGCCAGAGCTTTCTTCAGCTGTCTCACGTGTGTGCAGGGACACGAGATTTAGGCCATCCCCCCTGCTCCTTTCCCAGGCTATAAGCAAGGAGCTGGGTCAGCCAGGACTAGATTTGGCATCCATGCTGGCATCACAGGAAGAGGATGAGCCTGGTATGCCACTGCACTGGGCCCCTCAAATTAGCATTTTCATTGTCATCTATTTATCCCAGAATTACTTAATCCCAGGGCTTAAGAATCTTAATGCTGTTGGTTTCAGAAGCCATTGGTTGAATTTGCTAAGACTGTGGCACAGATTACATAGAAATCTGTACCTCGTGAGCACCGTGTTTCAGTGGGCTTTGTGTTTGTCTTGCTCCTGAACCTCTGGACTCAGTGAATGAGATGCTCCTGTCAGACCTGCCTTGCGTTCCCCACTCACTATGCTGTGGCAGCTGAAAGGCCATTGTCTGTTTGTTGTTTTAGTCAGTGAAAGGGGATGGAGGGACCACTCGCTCAGAAGAAATAAATGGGAAAGACTCCAGCTACCAAGTAAGTGACCTTGAATTCTGATTGGGTATGGGTTGAACAGTGAGTTCTCACTTCTTTCCAGCCCCATTCTCACCACAACCGCCTAGGTAACATCTCCAGCCTAAACTCCTACTGTCCACCAGGCACTGGGCTAGACCTGTAGACAGAGACAAGCAAACTTGAGTTCCTCAGCATTTTCATATATGCCCTTCCCTCTCTTCCATCGATCAAGTCTTGCCATAAATGTTGCCTCCCCGAGGAGGACTTCCATACCACTGCCATCACTGCACCTGATCACAAACTACAGTCATCCATTGCTCTGGCCACTGCTGGTCTCTCTTGCTCCTTTGCACCCTTGCTTGGAATGTCTGTGGGGCAAGCAGCCTTGGCTACTTTTTGGTCCTACCACATGGTACCTGTCGCATAAGAAAGACTGTTTTTCAAATTGATGCATGAAATACCTGGGGTCTCTCTGTTTCCTTCCATTGTTTTTTCTAAAGGAACAAAACAATGATAACTTCTATAGCTAAATGTTCTTTTTAAAAAACCAAATTAATTAATGACACAAGAATCTATAATCTGCCCTCCTTTTCTGGCCAAAAAGTATATCTTCGTAAAATGTCATCATGTTTATTTCTCCTGTTAATTTTGTTAAGATAGAAAAGTGCTTAAGGCATGGTATATAGACTGAAGTCATGTAGGTTCAGATTCTGGCTCTGCCACTTTTTAGCTGTGTGACTATAAGTGGATTACAAAATCACCTCACTTCCCTCATCTATATGGTGAAGCTAGGAGAAGCACACATGAGTTGGTATGTGTAAAGTACTTAGAACATTCCTGGAGTGAAGTGCTCATTGCTGTGTTAGGATGGTCTGCCATAACAAATACCATAGAGTCGGCAGCTTGAACAGTGAAAGTTCATTTCTCTCAATTCTAGATATTAGAAAAACCAAGATCAAGGTGCCAGCGATGTCCAGTTCCTGGGGAGGTTGCAGATGGCAGCCTTCTTGCTGTGCCCTCACTCGGCACAAGGAGACACATGCCCTGTGATGTCTCTTACTCCAAGGTCATGAATTAACCCCATTGATCAGTTCCCACCCTTTGACTTCATGACTTCCTTACTCCAGTTCATGCAATGCTGGGGGAATGGTCAGTGTGTGAACTCGGGGGCAGCACAGTTCAGTCCCTGTGGTCACTTTGTGTTACCCCAGGGGACTGACAGGGCATTGCCAGTCCAGTACCATTGCTCACCTGTCACCACACACACAGACAGCAAAGCATGCAAAGAGTTTGTTGTATTCCCATTTCCATGATCACCCACTTTCCCTGTTTCAGCTGGGAAATATGTTGCTTTTCACCGAACTTAAATCTTAGGCCTATTCTCTTGACCACTTTGGAATTAACACTTCCAAAGATTGTCTCCTTAGAAATATGGCAAATTTATTAAATGAGAAAAGCTTGAATACAATTGTATATTTCATCAGCAAATATACAGTGAAAGCATTATGGCAATAATTTTGGTGATTCTAAAATTGAAATAAGGTCCACGAGAATAAAAATGGGCTGGAAACACACCCAGCAGGAATGGTGTGCAGATCAGTTAGAGGATTCTGTTTTCCAGGGCCTTGCACCTGAACTGGAGAAGGCAAGTGTGTACTCACTGTGAGGGTGACAAATGCCTGGCCATGTGCCCTCTGTTCTTTTGGCTTTGCGCTGTTCAGATTGTGAGAGTCTTGGCTAATATTTCTGGGAGGAAGAGCACCAGGTGACATTTTCAGCCCAGTTGCTGCAGGTGAATGAACGAGCCAGGCTTGCAGCCTTGTCCTGCGGCTTTCCAGGGCTGCTGGGTCTGAGGACCTTCCATCCAAACTCCAGTCAAAAGTTTCTAATCCGCATTCAATGACAAAGCAGTCACAGCATTGTGTAGATTCTCAGTGGGGTGTCAAAATGAGGATTTCACCAAGTGCTAACTCCAGAAGGTGGTTCCTGAGTCTTCAGGAAGATCCGTGCCCACCAGGGCCAGGTAGCCATGTGTCCATGGATGTCATCCTCTCGGTTCCCTCTTGCAACAGCCAGGGTTCTCGGAGAATGCTCCGTTCTTGGGTTCTTTCCACTCCCCTGCCATCATGATTGGGGAAAGGAAATAATTCGGAGACATCTGAGAAGTTGTTGCTTGTCACTTAACGTATATTGAGGGAGACCTCCTAAGTGTCAGCACTGTAGGTCAAGCCATGGAAGAGGCAGACTGGCTCTGTGGAGCTCACCTGCTATGGAAGGGAAAGGCAGTGAACAAAGGGCTCCTGGAGTGGACTGCCCCTAGAAAGCTAAGCCAGCAGTGTTTCACAAGAGGATTGAGCTGCTTCCAACAGAGCAACCAGCAACTGCAAGTGCCAGGAGGTGCCCTGGCGGGGCTAGAGAGGAAAGAGACAGATGACCCCATGGCAGAAAATACTAGCACCCCTGGAGCCCTGTTTCAGGAGGAAGCCGCTTCAAGGAACCAAGAAGGCTGAATGACTGGGAATGAACAGACAGAAGGGAACAGTCAGGAGTCGAGGTTGGAGAGGTACAGACAAGCACACAGACCCACGAGGTCTTTATTTAAAAGCACGAGCACAACATCAAGCCAGGGCAGCCAGCCTGTCCCAGCTTGCCCAGGGCTCCACACCCCAGAACCTGCCTCTTCCCCAACTGCCAGGCAAGCCAAGCTGTTGGCTGCCCAGTGGTAGGCATTTCACAGCAGCCTCACCTAGGCCAAGGAATCTTCCTACTCTTTGCTAATTTGTTCCTCACCACACTGGAAGGTGATGTATCTTTTCTCACTCCCATACAGACATGGAAACTGAGAGATCAAACCATGTATCCCAGGTCACACAGCAAGGAAGGGATGGACCTAGAACTAAGCTAGGTCACACTGACTCCAGACACTTGATAAAGCTTAAGATTTTCTGCACAACAAAGTACTTACAGTGTCTGAACCAGGGTGATTGGTTTCTGGCCTTCCTGAAGGGCATCATGGTGGGCATTTCTGTTCTGTTTCTTTTTCAGGATTTTATTTGTTTATTTGAAAGGCAGAGTTACAAAGGCAGGGGCTGGGACAGAGACAGAGAGGAAGAGATATCCCTCTGGTTCAAGTTCCGTATGACTGCAATGGCCAAGGCTGAGCCAGGCCAGGAACTCCATCTGGGTCTCTCATGGCGGAAGTACTTGGGACATCCTGCACTGCCTTACCAGGTGCATTGACAGGGAACTAAATTGGAAAGTGAGCAGACAGGACTTGAAGCAGTGCCTACATGAGCTGTTGGCATTGCAGGTGATGTTTTAACCCACTGTGCCACGTTGCCCACTCTTCTGTTTCTTTCTAAGTCCCATATCTGCTCTGGGCAGTGTAAAGTGCATGGATCTTTGCTGCAGCTTCGGTAGCCAGGCTGTGAGAAGCATTTGGGGTGTGCACTTGCACCTTGGGCATCTGCCCTCTCTTCTTGGGGCATTCTGCTCAGAAAAGCTTGCACTGTACAGAAACTGAGGCAGGACAATCTCATCTGTGTGTCTCCCCACTTACTGCAGATGTGCTTGGTTCAGCGATGCAAAATGATGCAATCCTCTCCTTGCCGCTTTCTCAATCACAACTCCAGCTCTGTCACCTGACTTTTGACCTGGGACCAGTATATGAATTTATGGATCAAGAAGTTTTTAAACATGCGTTCAGTGGATCAAATTTGGTCCCCATGGGCAGTTGTGGCCCTGCTGTTTGTTTTGAACCTTTGAAGTTGATGTTTAAAAGGTGACATATTTACGTTTAAAGCACTCAACTTCAACCTCCGTCTCTCCCAGGGTCTGAGCACCTGGTGGCCCTTTGAATGGGCGATATCACACTCAGGTCCCTGTAGTTCGTCTGCTCGGTGCCCAAACCAGCATTGCTTCCACGGTGTTGTTCCTGTGCTGAGGATACGGTCCTTTTGGTCTGTGCTGTTTTCACAGCTCTCCACGTGGTCGTGCTTACCCTGGATCTCTGTTTTATGAATCTATCCTGTTACAGGCATGTTAGTTCAAGAAAATTACATGAAGAGTTTCTAGTTCCACACAGGTTTCCCAGAATTCTGTAAAATGTTGTACTTTACAGGCTCGGCCTGCTGATTGCATACGCTAAGGAGGGTTACACACTCTCATTTGGGCCTAGAAGGATGTCTATTGTTTTTCTTGTTTTATGCACTTTTTCTTATATTAGAGTATTTTAAAATTCTTTAATAGAATCCTTAACATTAGGTTTGTGCAATATGTAAGCTGTAGTTTCTAAGTGTAGGGGATCCCAGAGTGACTGGCTGGAACTAGCATGAGTGGTTTTCTCCTGAAGAGCAATATGGAACCATTTTGCTATTAGCACCCTACTTGAAGGCACTCCAAGAGGTGGTGAATCATGCAGTTGAAAGGATCATTTTTATGCAGAAACTTTTGAAGTCCACTCATAGATTCTTTACAACATACATGTTTATGCAAACTTTTTGAATGGCCCACGTGTAGATTTCTGTATACTTTTTTTAATTCTTTAATTTATGGCACAGCTTAATAGGCACTGGGGACTCCCCATGTCCCTCTCCTCCCCATTGATCTCCCCTCCAGTCTTGCAGTGGGTGTCTTCCGTGTGCCCTCACCAGTCCGTCATACTGCCACTGAGGTGTCTCCCAACAATGTAGGAGATGGTCTGCCGTTTCTCTGTGAGTCCATCCTTGTACTTCATGCACGGGGACATACTTTTCTCTGCTTCTACCCATGGACACATTTATTTCCACTACACTTTCATTATACATCCCCTTAGGTACAGTCCACCATGGACTGAGAGGGGGAGAAAAAGTGGATCTTCATCTCCATGGTGTTATTGAACTTGTAACAAAGGTATCGCTGTATGCTAGGGTGGTACCAGAGAGTGTCCAACGGAAGGATGTTTGTTTTAAACTAAAGCACAATAATTTCATAAAGCAAAAGGTCAGTTTCACACTAAAAATTAAAGCAGATGTGACTATGAAGAGAAGAATGGGCAACCCCAGTAAACAGCCACACGTGTTTGCAAGTAGGAACGGCCCTCTTGAAGCCCATCACAGGACTGCAGGAGCAGCTGGCCTAGGAGTCCCAGGCGAGGTCACCGGTGTGTGACCTCCTGTTCCCACTCTCCATCTCCGTTCTGTTCCCTCTATGTTGACTTTCCTTTTCAGGAGGATTTTCCTGTCTGAAAAGTTACGTACATGTCCGGAGCTTAACGTCCAGTGAAGAAGGAGCAAGCATCTCTCTTGATTATCTTAGCAATGATCTGAGAACATCTCAGTTCTGTATTTGACTACTTAGACACAATGCTCTGATTGGCCGAGCCTGAGTCACTGGACCTTATGCATGGAAAAGCTGGAGGAAGGGAGATGATTTTCCAAGGAGGATCCAAGCTAGTACCAGAAGGAGGGGGAAATAATGCTTGCTGGGAAAGCATAAAATTAATTAAAGAATTATTAGATGAGAACATGCCCTCTGCTGTCAATATGTCTATACACTGTTCTTATTCTTTGTTCATTCCACCCCAGACTCATGAGAATGTCCATATCATTTGGCATTAGAACGTCTCTGTTTTCACAGCTCTGTGCGGCAAGCTGTCTTGCAGACACTAAAAATTGCACTGTGTTTGAAATTGCTGTAGACCTCAAACTCCACGGAGAAGGCCGTCTCGCCACCAGAGCCGGAGCCTGCGGGAACAACCCCCACGGGCAGAGAGGGCTCCTTGAAGGACAAGAAGTCAGCTGGGGAGACGAGCAAGCGCAAGAACAGCAAGCAGGAAGCCAAAGCCGCGGCCCAGGACCCTGAGCAGGCCGTGGTGGATGGGAACGCCCTGCAGAATGGGGACAGGCCCCAGAAGAGAGCTGAGAAGCGGCGACAGTCCCTCGGGGGCTTCCTCAAAGGCCTGGTATGTGGATCTTTGCCTCCTCACTCTGAGCTCTCGGACAGAGGGTGTGATTTCCACCTCCCTTCGGCAAACATTGAGGGTTCTTCATGCCAGGCACCGTGCTGAGCACAGGAGGCAAGCCAGGCACAGCTGTTGGTATTGTAGAGGCAAAATCAGAGACAGAAAGGGTGGGAGTGCAGGACACTGTTAGCAGAAGGGAATCACGGGAAGAGAGCCTGGATGCGAGACTGTGCTCAGGTTTGGGCCTCACAGGGCTGTCAGGGAGTGTTCTCCAGGGATGTTCCAGGTCCGTGGGACCCCACCTGTCCTGCAGCAGGTGTAAGGGTGGGATGGTGAGAAGCCCGGGGTTGAAGTCATCTGCTGGGATCAGTCAGCAAGAATAAGGAGAACCATTGACTTGTGGCCAGAGGGAGCCTTGAAGGGTTTAAGCAAAGGAGGCTTCTCTACACTTGGCCCTGAGCACCAGACATAAAGAAAAGACTAATACAGTTTCTGCCCTCCAGCCCGGTGGGGGTGAGTAGAGGGCAGACATTAGATGCTTCATTGCCTTGCGAGGTGGGTACGTCAACCGGGGCAGTGCAATCACCTTGGGGCAGACACATCTTTGCTGTGGGGGACTGTCCTGTGCGTTGTAGGACATCTGGTAATATCCTTGGCCTCTGCCAGCAACATCTGAATATCACCTGCTCCCATTTGCGACCATCAAAGTTGGGTCCAGACATTGACAAATCTCCCTGGGGAATGCACTCTCCCCTAGCTCAGAGCCGCTGGAGTAGACCTGTCCCCTGGGGAGGTGGCTGCTTGGCCTGTTCATCAGGCTCTTCTTTGTCTCTCAGGCTGTCCTCCCTGTCCTAACCAGGGTGCTGGCGGGAACATTACTAGATACTCCAAGGGTACTTGTGGACTGAGTCAAACGAGTGAGTGATGGCCATATGGAGTAAACTGTGGCACTAGTAATTGTTTAATTGCATCTGTAATCATGTAACTTCTGCAAACTTGGGGAATCTGAAGGGTCATAACTCAAATTATAAGCAAGGAGATTCCTATAGTTGGGATGATAGCTTTAGAATTCCCCAAGACTCGTGTGTTAGAGGCTGGGTTTAGGGTGCCACTACTGGGAATGATGGGGAGTTGATCTAGTTATAGTGTATAAGAGGTGGGCCTGGTGAGAGGTGCCCTGAGGGCGTGCCCTGGGCAGTAGTTCTCATGAAGGGTACAGTTCTACAGGTCTGTTCAGCCCCGGCTGCTTCCTAGCTTCCCATGTGATCCTTCCTCCAAACCCATTACACCATCCACTGCCCTCATCAGACACCAGATCAGTAATGCCACTCAGTCTTGGCCTGGGAACCAAAACTGTGACCCAGAGGAAACTTTCTTCCTAAGCAGCTTCTCCCAGGTATTTGTTCAGGCGATGAAAATCTGACCAGTGTAGCAGTCACGCACAAACTCATTGAAGAAGTGAGCAAAGTCTTCCCTGGGACCATGGGAAGCTGAGCGAGGAGGCCAACATTGACCACGGCAGTGGGGCCAGAGCTGGGCTCGCCTTGATGTTGCTGCAGGTGGGCAGGCATGTGAAGTATGGTGACCTCCAACTACTGTGTCTTCCGGAATCACTCTGTCCCATTGATATCTAGACACTTGTGACTTCTGACATGCACAGGTGGGAGGGTGCTGCTGACCTCTGCCCCACGAGCAGACTTCAGAACATCTGTGAGGAGCTTCTTACAAGTTCCGGATCTCAGGTCCAGCATGGGGTTTTGTGATCAGAACCATCATGTCTGCCTCATTGAGCATCTTTGCCTATGTGGGGCTGGGGGCCTTGATTTGAGGCGATGTTCTGCCCTACGGCCTGTCCTGCTCTTCGCAGCTCCTCAGAGAGCAGGCCTTTTCCACTTCTGGAGAATAAGCACCAGAAAAGGAGAGTGTATGAAGACTGACCCCTGTGGGCTACTTGTGCTGGAGTAAACGTCTCCTTTCTCAGTGTTCACACCTGGGAGGTGGGTGGTGTCCCAACCACTTTCCTTGGTCACCTCTCCGCTCTGGATTCTTGGTGCATTGAGTGAGAGGATGTCCCGGAAGTTTCTGTGCTCAGAACCACAGTTCCCCTCTCTGTAACTCTTTGTCGTTTGGCCAGATGCCCATCTGATGATCTTTGTGCATTCCCTGTGGAGCCCTGATTGAGGGTGGGGATGGCCCTAATCCAGTGGTCCTTAACCAGGGGCAACTTTGTGTGCCAGGGAACATGTGGTGATGTTTTGGAGAAAGTCTTTGACTGTCACAAATGTGAGTAGGTACTATAGGCATGTTGCATGCCAACCATATTGCCAAACATCCTGTAACATACGTGATAATCCCCAGAACAAAAAAGACCCATCCTGAAGCATCAGTTGGGCCAAAGAGAGGAACACTGCTCCAGTGACACAGCACCGAGGGAAGGGTTGGGGCAGGCTCCAAGGCCCTGTGCTTTCAAGTCACCCCATTAGCTTGACTGGAGTCCTGTTCCTCCATCTCCCTGGCTCTGCAACCTTGGACTGGTCACCCAGACCCTCATAGCTTGTTTCCCCACCGATACACCTGAGATTGTAGTTGCTATTCTGGAGTTCCTTTGGGAATAAATAAATTATTTGGTTCAGAGCCTAGCACAAAGTAGGAGTTGAGGAGCAGATGTTACCATTTCCACAGCAGATCATTTGGGCTCTTGTGTGGACTTGAGTCTGACCCCTAGCGAGGTGGAGATGTGGCCAGTGTGCCTCACCTCCCATCCAGCACAGAGACTCTGTCCCCTGAAGTCAGTTCCTGTCCACCATCATTCAGTCCCTCTTTCTCTGTTTCTCTCTCTTTCCCTGCTCTAAGCCATCTGGCTCAGTCAGTGTCCCAAATTCTGAATGTACTTCCCCACTCAGGGACCTTGGTGTATCACTCCAGGTGTCCAAACTGCTGTACAGCTGTGTCTGGGTTAGTCGTCCTCCAGTGACAAACCGTGAGACCTTGAGCTGGTCACTTCCTCTCTGAATCAGATTGCTTATTTGTAAAGAGGAACAAAGAACAGCTGAGAGGACTAGGGGACAATCATGTAAAATCCTGAATAGTGAGTAAGCACCGAGGACAGTCCCCAGGCCTGTGAGCCAGCAGCCTGCGGGAAGCAGCACCCCCCCCCACCCCACCACCGACCGCCATCATCATCAGATTTGTTTGATAATTTGCACATAGCACATGCTCTGGGATAATGCTTGTTGAATGGATGAAGGGGAAATTAATGCATTTTTAGCTTAGTCCTTTTATAGTACCCGATACTGTTTTAAGGTGCCAAAAGAAAAAATTAGACAAAATAAATGGAGCAGTTTATTTGGTCATAGAAAATTCATAAATGGGAAAGCACCTAGTACCAGAAGAAATTCAGAAGGCTTCACCCACAGCTTGATTAGTGATCTGGTACAGGTCGGTCGGTTTCAGAACAGGAAATCATTGGATTGACCTCAGCAAGGCCTCTGCCCTGTTTGGGTGCGATGAACTCACTGCCTGTGATTGACCAAAGCTTTGCCGGTGGTGATTGGCTGAGATCCACCCCTCAAGTTTTTTAATTGTAATTTAGCTTTTTGTTTGCATGCTAAGGTTACAGTTTCTGAAGTAGGAGCCCAAGCCAATGGTCTCCGTTATCCGAACAGGGCTGGAGATACACAGCTGTGTTCCTGATAGAGGCTGTCGGCAGAGGACTGTCCCTGCCTGATTACAGTGTCGGTGGGATGGGGAAGGAAGACCTGAGATGTGCTTCTGCCAGTGCCCCAAACACAGGGACCCCAGCATCCGGCTGTACCAGGACAGGGCTCCGGCTTTGGGGTTCCCAGCTGTGTCTCAACTCCTGTGATCGAACTAGGCCTGCCCAGAGATAAACAGACAAGAATAAGACGTGACATTTGAGTAGGCACTCCAAATCACAGGCCTTAAGGAAATGTCGTATTTGACTTTCATTATGTTTATGACTTCTACTTGCCTGCTTTAAAAACACCTACTTTGTGGGTGGAGACCCTGAACGTTCGCTTTTGTCAGTGATTTGGTTTAGATGTGTTTTCACTGACACGGGACATCTGGGTGTCCACAGAATCCAGGCAGAATCCTGCGGTCATCCAGGCAGGGTCCACTGGGTTCGCGGTCCCTGCACCCACCTCGCCCAGGGCTCTTGTCCAAAGGCACGTTCTGATGCAACCAGGGATTCCATGGGCAATGCCCGGGCCGCAGGTCCACAGGCAGTATTCTGAGTAGCGAGATGCCAACAAACCAGCAATAAGATGTTTGGGGAAATACCCAGGCTTCCTTTAGCTTCTTTTCAAATGTTCCAGTAAATGTTATTTACTCCTAGAAGGTCGTTTGTTGAGCACAAACACCACACAAGAGATGGGGTACGTTTTTATTTAGCAGATACACGTAGGATGTCTCGTAGACCTCCTGGTACTGAGCCGTGCCGGGTGTGTAAACTGCAACTTCATTTTGGGAAAAAAAAAAAGATTAAGTTTTGTTGGAACTCAGCCATGTTCATTTATTTATACTGTTGTCCATGGCTGCTTTCACACTGTACCATCAACTGCACACTCGGCACCCCACAGATTCTAAAGTAGCCACCAGCTGACCTTGCACACAAAACATGCCAGAACCCTCAGTCTGGCACCGGGCATGTGGCCGGTGACAAAGGCTGACTTCAGAGGCTCCCGTTCTGGGAAGCATGGGAATGAAAAACAGATTAACTAAGAAGCAAAACTGAAGAAGTCAGCATGAAGTTCTCTCAAGCAGATGTGCAGGGCCGTGCCCTGCTCTGCGGAGGGGCCTGTGAAGTGAGAACTGTGCCCTGCTCTCATCGGTGGATGGGGCGGGCGCCAGACCGGAAGTGAGCGAGGCCCCCTCCTCTGGGAGGAAGAACACCAGTCAAGGCCCTGAGGAGGGCCTGGGCACAGGGCGCTTCCGTGGGTTCAAGAACGAGAAGGAGCCCTCATTGCTGGGGGCGGGGCTGAACAAGGTGGAGGGTGGGAGGGGGTAAGATTGAAACTGGGACCAGGATCAGCTCGCACAGGCAGCACCGGCCGTTCTCAGAATGCTAACCATAACCCCATGTAAGCTAGAAGGCCAGTGATGCGTGTGAACAAGCCCGGGTTGGACACATCTTCCTAACTTGTGAAGACTCTGCTGTTGCGGGCGAGCGGGAGCATAAATAAGAGGCTAGCTCACATGTGGTCAGCGCAGCCCAGAGAAAGGATGCAAACTGGCCCAGGGAGGCCTGCACAGGTGACGAGAGGTGGATGGGCTCAGCTCACGGCTGCCTAGCTGATCGCCGCCCTCCACGAGGCCGTGCCTCCCTCGGGGCAGCATCTCGGTAGTCATTGCCTTTATGACATCATCCTGTACCACATACGCTGAACTGCACTAGGTCTTCTGTGACCCACTGTAGTATCTTCTGTACAGTATGGCCCTATGTGGACGCACTACGCTGTGTATATTATACTGTGCTATGTCACCGTCATCACACTAGACTGCACTGTATGCATTTGTGCCAGATAACTTACACTATCTTGAACTGTACTGCATTATCCTACACTAAATCATCTATATACAATTCTATCTCATGCATATATTATACATATTACACTGTATCAACTGTCCTATACTTTATATGTGTATATATATATGTGTGTGTATAAACTCTTATTACTTTGTAGTTGAAAATGGAGCCAACAGTAAAAATACCTCTGCTCAATGCAGTAACCGTGGAAATCTCAAATTCCGTGGAAGAAACAAGGCTGAAAGGCCATTTACCCTGATTCCATGGCACAGTGTTCTGGACAAGACCAAATTCCAGGGACATAGATGATTCCAGGGCCTGTGAGTGGGGTGGTCTTAGCTGCAGAGGGGCACGAAGCACCTGCTGCAGGAGGGGTCACAGGAGGTCCTGAGCAGGGAAAAGCCGCATGACCATCAGTGTTGGCCCGAGCTTACAGAATCACGGACAGGAAGGGCTGGCATCCATGTGTGGGGTTGCACTTGACATTTAAAGGCAAAACCACAACAGTAACAGTAGCAGGGCCTGGGCACACAGCATCCACCTACCGACCCTCAGTCAGTGCAAGGGGCATCCCGTGTGTGCCAGGCACTGGGGCATCATCCAGGACATGGCTGTCAGAACCCACAGGGCTTTGGCGCTGCTGGGGACGCATCATCGGATTACTGCAGACATAGGTATGTCACGAGGAACTCAAGGCCATGTGGCCAATGGCCATCAGTGAGGCAGTGGCTAACAGGAACTAGAATCATGGGGGTGGGGTGAGAGCTGGGGAGTAGTGTCTTAGGAACAACTCCTAATCGTTTCCCTGCCTTTTGACCAAGGTCAAGTGAAGAGACAACTCCTGAGATAAGCTTTATCATTCCGTTCTTACGGAAGCCCAGTGGGTTCAGTCTAAGATTGCACAAAGCAAGGAAGCATTATAACCGGCGCTGGCCAGCTGGTAGAGAGCCCACCCTCCTAGCCCGGCATTCAGGAATGGGATGTATTTGCTCAGCACAGCAGTGAGCACACTTTGACTGCCAGTCAATCAGTGGCCACAGCGTCTTTATGTCTTTCTCCAGGGACCCAAGCGGATGTCAGATGCTCAAGTGCAAACAGACCCTGTATCCATCGGACCAGTTGGCAAAAACAAGTAATCAGATCCCCCACGGTGCCCGCCAGGTTCTCTGGTTCCCCACGTCCTCCCCAGACACACTCCATGTACATATTTCTCTTCGGATGCCCGTCCCGTGACACCCCACCTCCGGACGGCCTGCGCTGCGGCTGTGTATTGCCGGTACTCTCCGCGTCTTGGTTCGTCCGGTCTTTCTGACAAACAAGTGTCAAGGTGGATGAGCAGGTGCACCAGTCAGGTCAGAAGGGTTCTGAGGCAAGTAGGGTGGTGACAGAAAAACGCCAGTGAGAAGGAGGGAGCTTTGGGGTGGATGTGCGCTCGCACCTTCAGCCCGGAGAGAGGAAACCAGACCCCAAGTGTCCAAAATCACATTTAAAGGAGGGTAAACATGGGCTCTGCCTTGGGCATTTGCCAGTTCTCTGGAATGGAATGTGTGACCAATGAAAAAGCAGTGAGTGAGAGTGGTCTTTCAGACAGGGTCCCTGAAAGTTACCGACCAGAGGGAAGCAGATAGACTGGAAAGGGCTTGAAACAATTTGGGAAAACAATTGCCTCTTGAACGAGGCTCAGGAACCGGGACCAGCCTAACTTCAAAAAACAAATAAAGGAAGTTGCGATTTATTTTCTCACCACCAGGGGGCACGCCAGGGTCTCCGTTTTAATTCTGCTTCTCGTGGCCCTAACAAAGTGGTTGCTACAAGCTTGCTTTACTTCTGTTCCTCGGATATCTGAGGGACCTGCTGTCCGTTCTGTTCTGTCTGACGCTTATCTGTGTATAATTTCCTAATGTTCCCTGGATGTGTTCTGATAAAACCTCCCCCTAACCCCAGTTAATAAAAATTGACAGAAGATTATACAACACCTGAGTGTTTTTAATACTTTATGGAGCAGTTAAGTAGGACCGTGAGTCTGTTAAAATGTAATTAAAAATGATTGACTGACAGGCATGTACGCTGTACTTTTCTGTTTCTGGTGTAATACAAGTATGCATTTACTTCTAAAGTAACTTTAACTTCTCCACTTGTAAAGCAGGTCTCTGCAGCTCTGTGTCTGGGGTGGTCCATGGCCAGTGTGCTACCATTGTCTTCCTGGGAACCTAATTCCCTCTGGCTGTCCCTGGACTGCCTTGTGAGTCTGCGCACACACACGTAGACATGCCTGTGTGTGTTCACACATGTCTGTGCCTGCACACACATGGCACACGTCAGAAGTGTCGAGGCTGAGACAAGGCTTGGGAGGTGCGTGGCACACGGAGTGTAGGTTTCTGGGGAAGGGTCGAGCAGCGGCAGAGAGGGAGCTGGGCAAGAAGCAGACTTGGCTGGAGCGTTGCTTCGACATCCGGGTCCAGAGCTCGGCCTTTGCAGCCCTGTAGGTGAGGCACGGTGGCCTTGGGAGGCGGCGGGGCCTGCAGCTGCTTCCGCTGAGCCGAGAAGCCCGCAGAGGGGTGCACGTGTGTGGACCGTGTCCCCTGTAGATTTACACGTGTGTGCGGGTGTACGCCAGGATGGATAAATGCACACACACACACACACACGTATTCACACACCAACACATTAGCAGCACAGCATGACACCCACACGCTGGCTCCCACAGACCCATCTGTCCCACGTGGAACCATCACATGTGAATGGGCACCCAGCACTGCATGTGCTCTCTGACATGGAATTGGATGGAGACCCCCCCTCCCGTAGGTCCCTCAGACCCTGGCTTTGGCACAGGTGCTGTGCAGATCACCATCCCCCATCAGAGCCCTGGGGTGGGATTCCCAGCCAGCAGGTGGTCGCTGACCCCCATGGATTCAGTTTCCAGCTTCAGTGCAGCCTACCTCCAGATGTTGCAGTTCTTGGGAGTGAAGCAACAGGTGGGAGCCATAGCCTTCCCTTCCTCTCGCTGGGTCTCTCTGCCTCACACATAAGGGATTTTTTAAAAATATGTGCCTGTTAAAATACAGTGTCTCCCAGTTGCCAGACTCTGGAGGCTGCTGGAGGCTGCAGGTGCTCCCCTCGGAGGAGCTGACCCCCAGGTTTAGATACAAACCTAGCCGCTTGCATCTGGCTGGCCCAGGCCACTCAGTGCCCTGGGCACAGGGGAGGCAGCTGTCTTGCCCAGCAGCAGTCAGGGAGATCCACAGCCACCTGCTTCTTTGTCCCCAGAGCCCGCAGGTGGCCCTTGGTGAGCTCTCGGACCTCCATGGAAGGAAGGGACTGTGTCATTTGCCAGTCTCACCTCACTGGGCAGTGGCATTTTGCACACACACAGTGAGAAGTGCCCCCTGGCTACAGTGGGAGCAGCAGAGCCAGGGCACGAGCCCCCAGGGTGAGCAAGGCAGGTGCAGCAGCAGTGTCCACTGCTGGCCTCCTCGCCTCCTCGGGCTGCAGCAGAAACAATCTCTTCATAAAATGCTTGGGTTTTTTTTTTTAATATTTTTATTATATTTTGACAATCTTTACTTAGTTAATTGGGGTAAAAAGGCTCAAGGGCTATAGGGAAGTGTGTAACACTATTGTAAAATGCTTGTTTTTTAAGGCAAGAACATAGGAGCCATAGGAAAGTCAAAGCCCTGTTTGACAGGAGACTAATCACAGTGGTAGCTTAAGCAGCAGCATATGGCTGCACCTTGTGCCTGGGGGGAGGGGGGTTGGGAGCCACTTCCTGATGTATCTACTGTAAGTATGCCTTTCCAGACTTCCAGCTTGACTAGGGGGTGTAGGGAAGAGGAGAATTCCCCCCCCCCCAAGGGAGGGGAGAGATGCCCTGAGGACAGACTCAGGGGCCACTCAGCTCCCCCAGGAGTCCCAAGTCTGGAAACGCCCCGAACCCAGAGGGGCCCACAGCACAACACAGGAAGACAGGGCCCCGCTGCCAGGCCAGTGCGACTGTGGATTTACTTGTTTATCTATTTTTAGGCGCACAGGGAAGTCTGTCTTCCTCGCCAAGAAGAAGTGGCCTTTCCAAGAACGGAGCTAGAGAGCGGGCATGGCTGTCCCCGTGCATGTGACACACACACACACACACACACACACACACACACACACACACACACACGTGCACACACTCACACAGAGCCCCACCTTCCGGTTCTGACTGTTGGTGACTTTTTGACTGATGCCCATAAAAGAACTGATGCGAAACAGCAGGCGTTCCCAGCGGCGCGAAGCCCCTGCTGATTCCTGTCTTGGGGGAGGAGCCACGGACCAGGAGGCAGCAAAAGGCAAGGAAGAGAGAAGGCACGGGAGAGGATTCGCATGGTGTCCTCTTGCTCTTTAAAGAAAGAATCAGGAACCTCTCTCTTCTCCCCACCCCCAGTCTAAATGCGTATTTGGATCCCATGACGAGGGATTCCACAAGCCCAGCACGGGTCCCGCTGGCTCCTTTTCAAAAGCCTGAAGGGACACAGGTTCCTGTAATCTGAGTCTATGTCATTTTTTTCCGTCCAGTAGTCCCAAGCCACCCTGAGGCCTGAAAGCACAAAGTCCACTCTGCTCACTGCCCCCAGCAGCGTGGGCAATGCCTCCGATGACTCCCGTAGCCGCAGTGTGCGCGCAGGGGCTGGGCACGTGCTGGGGAGGGCTGGCGTCACCCTCCCTCTCGGGCTCCCCCTTTAAAGGGCCCCTTTGCATGGTGTGTAGAATTAGGCTGCTTTGTGGTTAACACTTTGTGAACTCTATCAGCGGGAATGAAGTGGCTGGCCCTTCTGCAAATGACGGGCTGCATCAACAAGAAAGGAAATTACTGACGGAGCAGCAGACGCGTCATCTGTAATTCGGCTCCTTAGCGCCAGGGGCTAGAACGCCGGGCAGGAGCCAGTTCCTTTGCATAAATTGGTTTTCTGGAGAGTTTAATCTCAGTCACCCTAATCTAGAATGCCACTCTCTGGACTGGCTCTCTCCCCTAGCCCTCTGACACTCCATAGCTGAGGCAGAAAAACCTTTGCTGCTTCACAGAAGTGAGCAGGACAGCCAGCTGGCCCGATCCAAGTTTACTTTCCGAATGCATCACCTAATTTGAGGCTGTCTGGCCACATCCCCATTTCGCTGCTCCTTTTATTGTGTTTTCTTGCTGGGGAGGGGAAACTGGCAGGCACCTCTCTGGGTGTCATGGTTCGGTTCTCAAAGGAGCAGTCCTGGACAAAATGGCCCCCAGCCGCTTGGGATGGTTTCTCTCGAAGGAGTTAGTGCCTTAGGTGACTTTACTCACGGACATGCCTGCTTTATGCCAATCTAGCCACACGGGGGCACTCCATGACCTGGGGCTCGACAGTCTCTACCCACACCTCCCCCCCCCCCTTTTTTTTCTGATTGCTAATCAGGAAATTGGGCCAGAACTGGGTGAGAGAGTGTCGGTTGGTTAACTTCCAGAAAGCTCTCAAGTTTAAAGAGGAGAATTAAAATGAGAAAGCCAAAGCAAGCAGGGCAGTTGCCTTCCATGATTCCCGCTCTGCAAACCAGGATCAGAGAGCCGAGCTGGTTTTCCTCATCAGAGCGCGTGCTTGTCCAGACTGAAGCGATGCTTCCGGCCCACCATGCTCCACAAGGCAGCCCGGCCACTCCTCTCCGCACTCAGTGCCCTCCTCTGCAGTGCCTGCCAGCGGGGCTGCCCTAGCAAGGGAGGGCATGATGCAGCCCGGACAGCGTGGAGGCTGGCGCATGGGAACCCTGCCAGTGCCAAGAAGCAGAAACCCCCCTGCTCAAGCTGCTGAATAAAAAGAATAAATGAAGTGTTACGTAACAGCATCCGCATTGATTCTCAGAGTCCTCTGGCTCATGATGACGATAAGAACACGTGGCAGGTGCTACCTCACTGCCTGGCTCTGAGTCCTTAGACCTTGCTGATGCACTGACTTTAAAACTGGTACTCATGAGCTGGCAGGTGCCCAGACCAGTGGTTCTCAAAGTGGTTCGCATCAGCACTGTCAAGAATTTGTCAGCATTAAGTTTTCAAGCTGCACTCCAGAACCTTGGGATGAAAACTTGGAGCAAGGCCCAGTCATGCTGCAGTGAGCATTCCAGGTGGTTCTGATCCAGGACAAACTTTGGAAACCAATCGTCCATGTAAAGCTACAACTTCTCTGAATGTCGACAGCGTGTTTGTTTCAAAGAGCACCCCTAATGATGCATAGATAATTAAAACTAACTCTGTGTGTCACATGAAATTACCTGTGCACTGCCCATCTTACCGATGAAGAAGCTAACACTCAGAAGGAACAAGCAGCTTTGTCCATGGAAACCCATGGCAGAGCCAAAACAGAAACCCAACCCAAGCTCTTAAAGGCATGCTTTCATGTCTGGGGGAGAGATGGGCAGGCAGAACAACGGCACGAAGCAAGAGAGCAAACAGCAAGATGGTGAGGGAATAGAGGAAGGCGTTGCTGTGGGCCATCCTAGGTGGAGACCGGCTGTTTGATGACATGACACCAGAGTTAGGCTGGCCAAGGAGTTCCCAAGACGACAGCAAGTGCAGAAGCACGTGGCCTTCAGGGGTCACGAGCAAGGGATTCAGCTGGCTGAGAGGAAGACAGAGATGAGGAGAGAAGCTGGGTGATGGCACAGAACCACTCATCAAGGACTCACAGTGATGCTCCATTGTAGGGTGCTTAAAGGGCTCCCAAGGGCATGGGGAGCCCTGCGGGACACCCCAACTGGAGGGTCACACCGGTTTGCACTGGGCAGCTGGTAGGATCGAATACAATTCAAGTCGACTTCCATTCATGAAGTGCCCCCAGCTCTGTTAGAAATCCACAAAATGCCATTCATAAACAATAACCTAAATACAAGCTCTTTGGCTAATGTGAAAAAGAGAGAGAGACCAACTTCGTAAAGATGAGTTATAGCAAGAAAAAGATTCTAGAGTTGG